AATGCAATAAAACCATATGAAAAAAGAACGGACCAAAAAAGATGACAAAACTAAGCAAACCTGTTTGCTGCTAGCAGGACTAAAGTATTACTATAATTCATATGTCTTACATCACAGAAGTGTGAAATACAAAGTATGTGTACATTTTATGAAGTGCAAAAATGTGACAAAATTCTTGTTCATGGGAGGAAGGCTGTAGCATGACTCAACAGAAAGTATTAAAACAAATAAACCAGTTTCTTCACATATCAAACAACAATCCTGTATTTAAGTTATGAAAATTGCTGTTATATTTTTGACCTTCAGTTAAAAGGATCTTTAAGCCCAGTGTGCATCTGTCTACCTGCAGTGACTCCTCTCCGTCAGTGAAAAAATAAACCAGGCAGAAAATCTGATACTTAGTTTTGGAACTGCTCTTCTTGAAATCAAAAACTGCAAATGAGCTGCTTTGATTCCTCTGCCAAGAATTTTTTAGAAAAACTACAATTGCACCCGGTTTTAAGCACTCATCTGAAGTTAGATGGCAAGGCTCACTAAATATGACTGCAACTGATCCTACGTCATTCTAGCAGATAATGTTTTGAATTGACTCTTCTTGAAGAAATGAGGTCAGGTACTGTAATATAAAACAGGAAGGTGAATTTCACAGAAATGTGTTGATGGTTAAGAGTAAACTTATTTCACAGTTGATGATGAAAAGGCAGAAATATAAAAAGATTTTAAATTCATGACATCCAGCATATTAATCTGTCCTACGTAGCACTCTAACAAGACAACTGTTTTACCTGGCTGCAATAAGATCTAGAAGATGTTGCCACCTGTCATTGATCTTGCCAAGTTTGTACTCAATCTCTGATGCCTTACTCTCATGGCTGGCTTTAGCAAGTCGCTCTCCCATTTGCTGGAGCTGGATTTTGTTCTTCTGGGCCACAGCAATTTCCTCTTGATAATCCTGGACAGTAAAGAGGAGTCAGAAGTCAGGGTACTTATTCTGAAAACACTCTCCTTTACACTACTAAAGGAACCATACAGAAATACAAATGAATGTTGGTTTTTTGGTGATTGGTACAGTGGAGAGACATCCTCTTAAATATTAGATATATAACCATCAACAACTTTATCAGAAGAATTAAAAAAACAAAACATGTCTTCTATAAATATATCTGCTATAGTTAAAGTCATTACAGGCAATTCTTATTGGACATTTAGTAAAGCATTCAGATGCCTTTGAATTTGCATTCACTTCATTTTCTGGTATCCTGGGAGGTCCTACCTCGAGACAGACAGGAAAATGCTGCATAGCGAGAGAGGAACACAAACACAAAGCCTTAGTGGAACTTACAAACATCAGTGTAAGGTAAAACCTCCATTGCAGCTAATTCAGTATCCTCTTTGCAACACAAAACAAGCAAGCAGTTAAAGAAGAGTATGTAGGTGTACATGCACTGCACTATACCTTTTTAAGTTTTTCAATCATTTCTTCTATGAGGATGTCGCCATTTTGAGAAACCTTACTTTCCATTTGTGTCAGCCATTCACAGAGCTCCTTGTTCTTCTCACTGAAGACAGCCCACTCATTCAGTCTCTCACTAACTTGTTGTCGACGTAAGGAAACCTTAAAACATTTGCAGAGAGTAAATAAAAGCAAAACAGTAAATGCATTTAAGAGATGCTTGAAACACTTTGTGCCTCAATGTGACCTCCTGTGGGCCTGCAAAAGTGTTCCAGCCACTTACTAGCCATTAAACCAAACTGGAGGTTCACTGCAAAAAACTTTGTGTGACTCTCTGAGGTTAAAGTCTCTGAGGTTAGACTCTCTGAGGTTAGAGTTTAATCTCACGTTTCCTGTTAGCTACGTCCTATGCACAGAGAGGCATCCAAGCGTTATGCTCAGTAGCCTGTCAGTATCTTGTTTTATAATGCCTCTAACCCAAAGGTTTCATTAGAAGATAAAAAAGAAATTGTCTTACAATTTTTGCTCACTTATAAAATGTCATAAAGTATCTTAATAGTTTTTTACAAAGCTAAATCAAGGATACACCATATTTTGCACAAGCAATTTTCTACTTGAGTGCCAATACACTCATTTCATAGATGACTATTTCCCTTGAATGGGCATGACACCTTCAGAGAGTCCAAAGGACTGAGGTGTGCCCTGACAGGAAAGAATAGGCATAAAACACCAAACAGGCAAATGCTGTAGTTAATATAGGAGGAAGGAAAACATTACTGTGTTTAAGAAATTGCTATAGCAGCAGCACCATCTCAGACTATGAACAGTAATAGACAGACAAAGATGGACATTGAAATCAAAACAGCAGCAGAGGGCAAGCAGCAAAGTCAGCTCTCCAGTTTCAGGCATTTGTACAACTACTTACGCCCTCCCCATTGTAATCCAAGTTGGTTTTGACTTTATGTCAGCGTTTCAGCTGAGAAGATGAGGACGGGATCTGCTCTTTCATAAACCAAAGTGATGTGATCTTTAACTACCATATTAGGTTTAACAGGAGCATACACATGATCTCACATTTCCTTTTTGTGGCTCTAAACTTGATGACAGCTTTCCGGAAATAAGCAGCAGTTAAACAAAGTGTTGCACTAAGTTACATCCTGAAACATTCAGTATGCACAAAAATAAGATAGCTCCCTTCTTTACACAAACATACACGCAGCAGCTACACCGTAGTTTAGATGTATCTACATTGGCTCATTCAAATGCAACTAATTTATAATGATTTCCGTGCTGTTGACTGTGAAGTATTTTTCCTACTTTGGGGGTGGTTTTCAAGCCTTCACAGACAGTTACCTTACATGAGGTAACTATTTCAAAGTTAGCCTCGCTATATTTGGACTGCAATCTCTACTGAACCACAGACATAACATCAGGGTAATCTGAAAAGCTGGGCAAGGAAGACTCCACTGCTTGCATTTCTAAGGGCAAAATGGATGCAAGAAACACTCTAATAGCATGATGCACCTGAAAAATCAAACAATACTCCTCAGCTTATTTCGCAGCCAGGCGAGTCACCCTCAGACTAAGAGAAATGCGGATGCCAGTGTCTGAAGAAGCAGAAGCTATCAGCAGAACTGAAGGTACAATACAGTAATGTTGAGAGGGGACAGGACATCCTTTCTGAGCACAGCTCCTCCACCAAAGCACAGCAAACTCTATTACTTCTGCATTTTCCCCAGCCAGCCATGCCATAGTCTCACAGCACACAGTATGACTTTTTTGTTGGTTTTCAAGGCTGCTTAAATGTGACCTCATGGCCACAACAAAGTTCAAGTGACCTAGAAACATGAACAGTAACTAAAAGAAACATTTCAACTTATGTTTTCCCCGATTCAGCAAGAATTCAGTTTTGAATCTGAGTGTGCCTACATGCATCTCTTCTAAAAGCTGCCACTTGCATTCAGTTTTTCTCCCAACACTTTTGTAGCCTGCATACGCACATCAGTGCTCAGTATATATATATACTATATATACACTATATATACTATACTTGCCTGGTGGCACAGCTCCTCCCACTGTCTGTGCAGAAGCTCTATGCGCTCACTGAGGATTGAGATATCATCTGCGCTGATATATATAGACAGGGTCTCCTTCAACAGAGAGAGGTGTGCAAGGTCTTCTGTCCATCCTTCAACAGCATTCTCTAACTCCTTAGAAGAAGTGCACAAGGAAAAAGGAATGGTTTGCTAACAAATACGTATCTGAGTGTCTTGATGAAGCATGAAGACAAACATTGTTATCCCACTGAATTAAAGTCATATCTGAGCAGACCTAGCATTTCAAGCAGACTGCTTCAGCCCGATTTAACAGAAAAAGAAAACACCGACCCTGTATGTACCAACATTTTCAGAGTTATGAGATGGGTAACTCCCCAACAGAGAGAATGATACCTCAAACTTGTAACAAGTACTCACAGACTACTATACTACTTAAATCTCTCTAAAGTTCAAAGGCATTCAGGAATACCAAGTATTGGTTTGGACTTCTCTGCATCGAAAATATTTTCAAGTTGTAATCCTTTTCTAAACTGCAAAGAATATAGCACAAAAATGTTATCTAAGAACCCTCCCCCCTGAAATCTCACCTCAAATAAAAAGCACTAAACCAACACTTCAGATACCATGAGTTTAAATTTGAAGTTAGAATTTCTATAATAAAAACAAACCAGTATACAAATCAGTACTTTTCAGACCCTGTTCTGATCTCACTTTGATTCAGCTATATTTACCCTGCAGGATTTGCATTATAGTGAGATCACTCAGGTATTACGCTGTCCAAATGTTACAGGGATAGTTTCTTGTCACAGGGATGGCTGCCTGGTTTGCACAGTCAGTAATGTGAAGCCTATTAACAATGGAAGAGGTTACTGCACAGAGGCAGGCATAGATGAGACAACAGTCAACAAAGAACAAGTGCTTTACCTTGCAACGAATCTGCTCTGCGTGCAACTCATCATGGTGTTCTGGCAAAGGCTGACAAAGCTTTTTTTTGAATGATCTTAGCTTCTCCAGGGAGTCTCCTATGCCCTTTTCAGATTTTTCCCAGTCCTGAAGGCAGAATGTTTATTAGACTTCAATTCAGATCTAGGTTATACTTATGTCAGTTGATTTGCCTAACTAACCACTACACAGTAAAAACTTTTTCATAATAATAACATGCCCTGAAACCCCCCTCTAAACAATAATCATAGTCTTAGAGCTTGAGTCATGCATCAAATTTTTTGTGTGTAGGTCTCTGCTGGTAGAAATACACAAGCCAAAGCCTCCTGTTATTATAACATTGTCTAGATCCAACTCCATCCTTTCAGAAAAGCCTCTCCCTGCCAAAATTATTTTCCACTTCCTTTCTTGAATGCCTGTATTAAACACGCCATTGTTCTTTGACAAAAGCTCCATTCAGGTGCATTAATCTCCCAAAAAAAAAAAAGTGGCTGGGGTACTGCAAATTCAGGTCAGATTGAAGTACTTGCAGTATATCCTCTAAATTATGATTCTATACAAACACAGCTTTAGTGTTTGTATACTTTCCAAAATTTTAAATGTGTGCAATGCAATCAAACCACATGAATCGTCATGTGACAGTAGGGTTTCACCTGCCTCACCTGCTTGTTAAAGCCCATTAAAAAGGTACTCACAGACAGAAAGATCTCTAAATAAGCCAGTCAACACATAAAGAAAGCCAGTTGTGTGATACCAGAAAATATGGAACTTGTTTCTCATTGTCTTCTGTTTCTGATACTCTCTTTCTACCACTGCCTTTGTAAATCTCTCCTTCCATTTTTTTTTCAATCTATGCCAGTATTTCATGATCATCTTCAGGATGAAGAATTACAAACAACAGATCTTGCAAAACCCCCCCTCTCTTTAGTGTCTTCTTTCTTCTCTCCTTAGTGAGTAATAAGATCTTACATGACAATAGTCTGTGATGTTCCTAATGCAACACATACTCTTCTAGAATGTACACTTGTTCTTCCCATTTGGTCAGAAGACTACTAAAAAGTCATGTATTTAAGACCAAGACTGCATAATGTAATGAAGGTTTGATATCTATGAGATGATTTATGCAATTTGCATGGTAATTTCCCTACTTCCTCACCTTTAAGTATTAAGTTCCATATTTTCATTGAGACAAAATACCACAGAAACTTTAGTCTCCCTAGATAACAGCTTTCATGAATAAAATTTCCTGACATAATTCCCCCACTAGAAGCTGAGGTATGAGGAAAAAGGCTTGAAAGAGGAAGAAAAATTCACTTATCTGAACTTTTCCAAAATAATATTTCATTTCCTCGCACTGCTTTGCTTCTTGCTATTTACAAACAAAACTAGAGTGTCCGTTAACTCTGTTAGACCACTGAAACTATTCTAAAAACACTTGCCCTATTCTATTAATACACACAAGTCCAATTTTCATTATCCTCCCTACAATGAATAAGAGGGGAAAACAAACAGATCAAATTTAAATTCCTGTCTATCATCATCAGTACTTAAAGTGAGGTTAGAAGGCATTCTGGACATTGCTTACATCAAAATAAAGTTCAAATAAAGATCCCTTCTCCAAGATCACAGAAGTTTATATCTACACTAGCAAATACTCAAGACTCTGGAAAGAAACACAGACTACTACATGACGAGACAGATCTTGACATTCACATGTAGAAGGAATAAGGCAGGTCTAACTTTCAACACAATATGTATAAAAATTAACCAGCATTGTGCAAAATAAAGTACATTTTTGCTCTATGTTGAAAATAGGACTGGTAGGAATATCCTTTATTGGCAGTGTTCTGGAAATATCAATTAAAAGATATCAACTAACATACAAGCCTACTGTGAAGTATTACTACTCTTAGTTTCAGAGGTGGTGACATGAAAACATGACCTCATGTAGCATATATGCAATTCCTGTATTTGTGCTTATCCCTTGAGAATGCTTTTCTTCAACAGGGTTCACAGTGAGAAATGATGAACTTGCTGAAGAAATGCAGAAGAAATCACACACTTACTTTCAGTAGTAAAGCAAGCTGTTTCTTTTGTTGTTCCAGTCGGGTGCTAGCTATCTTCCAGTGCTCCTGGATTTCGGTAAGCTCTGTCTGCAGGGCTGCCTCAGCTCCACTGTCAGCAGAGAGCAGCAGTTGCTTCCCAGCTTCCACAGTGAGGATATAACTCCCTTGCTGCCTTAGGAGAACTTTCTCTTTAAGCTGAAAATATTAACAGCTTTCTGTCAGCTTTGTCTTTTTAATTACAATTAGCAATTCGGTATAATTCATTCTCAAGCCCATACTTTAACTGACTGCATACCTTGGCTTAAGCATGAGCTACTGCCCAGATGCTTTATCCTAACTTTTTCACAATCATTTACTGCAGCAGACCTTTAGAAAATTTCTCCAAGGAGATAAAGACTTCTTTCTCCCCATTAATATCAGTGTCTCGATTGCTCTTAAGAGAAGTAGTTCAAGCTTGAAGACACCAAACTGCTAAACAGATACTGTTAACCTCACATGAAGATGGACACTCAAGGTATCCTTTTTTGTTAGCTGGAATACATTCCTCAAACAGGACACCTTTTTTTTTTTCTTTTTTTTTTTCTTTTTTTTTTTCCTTTTTTTTTTTTCCTTCCCAAGACAGTTTCAGTGTGATGTTAGCTGCAAAGCAAAACAAGCAGCAAACAAGGCTTAAGAGCGAGGGCCCAGTTAGTGCTCTGTTGCATATACTTTTTGAATTACCAACTTTGTCTCCATCACACTGCTGCTTCTGAGGCTATGCCAGTTCCTAAGAGGAACTAACATTAAATATTGCTTTCTGCAAAGCAGATAGTCTGAATCTAATACATTTTAAATAATGTTTTAAATGATGAAGGCTATAAAAAGGCAGGGATTTTTTCCTCTTTCTTCAAACACACTGGACATACCTGCACTTCATCCAGTAGCGCTCTGGCTTGCTGCAATGGGATAGGAACGTTGCCCAGCCCAGTTACTGGCTGACAAGATATTTCCACCAGCCACTTGCGCAGCTTCTCTGCCATCTCCCTATAGCGTTGCCACTGGTGAATCTGGCTGTCAATGATCCCCCTCCTCTGCTGTGCCCGGCGAATTACTCCTTGCCATTGATTACTTAGAAGAGTCAGCTTCAGATTAAATTCATCCCTATTATTAATAGATTAATAAATAAAAATACATAGTAACCTTCATACTTTGATCTATTTGTTTAATGAAATAAATGGAAGGGAAAAGGAAGATGTTTTCTGGCTGTCAATACAAAGCACTAGGAGAAAATCACTGACGTTTCATGAGAGCTGACAGGATGAGAACTCCACACTTCGTGTACTGGGAGAATCAAAGGGCTCCAGTTATTGAGACCTTAAAAAACCCAGCCCTTTAACACACAAAACTCTTCTCCCCTCTCCCCAGAAATATATAAAGAAAACCCACAGGTTTTTGCCAGTTTGGATTAGCCAAATTCATAGGAAATGATGGAGATGTCACGATTCACCTCCAGATTTACTACGTAAAACTACGACATGAGCTCAAAGCAGGCATAAGACATACACATCATATGCAAAGTGTGAAGCCATTGGTGGTTCACTGATTTTCATTCATTTGATCACAAGTGTTTAAAATAAAATCTCAGACAGCAATGAATTCCTATTCCACCACATTTAGGCTGCAGGTCTTCTTAAATGGCAGTAGGGAATCCTCTGGGTAGAGGCAAATCCCCAGCTGGCATAAATCAAGTGTAACTCACTAAATCTGTCACTGCAGGCTCCTTTGGTGAAGGTGACATTTTAAAAGTATATCAAAATAGACATATATATGTAACATGCTTGATAATCCAAGACAAATCTTTGTCAGAGAAACAGCCTCGAAGCTGTTGTATTCCCAAATGCATCCACACATTCACGTACCCCATAGCATCCTAAAGAACACTGTCTTATTTAAGAACTGGCTAATTAATAGCTTAACCAAAGCGATAGTAACTTCTGCGTCAGAAGACCATGATCTAAACACTGACATCTGCTACCTTCTCTTTTTGGATGTCCCCCACTAGTCTAAGTATTACTTCACATAACCAGCAGCAGCATCAACACAGGAATGTCTACCTGTCGTCCACCTGTCCTTGTTCTAGGAGGTGCTGCCCATCAGAGATAATTGAATGCAAAATCTGCTGGCGGCTGAACATCTCTGCCTGGAATAGCTGTTGTACAGGAGACAAGGATGTTAAAACAAGAACTTACATTTTAATTTTATCTGTATACATCGGTAAAATGAATTTTCATGTATTTAATCTCTTTTAAAATAAATTCAATGGGAGTTTTGTCATGAATTTAAATAGAAACACATTTAAAAATCTCATTGCTGGAGTTACTTGCAGCTTCTAGTAATTATTATTAGTTCTGTCAGATTTTAAAAAAAATATTTAAAAGCTAAATAATATAAACAGGAACTAGGTTTTATGTCTCGGAGTACAATTGCGTGATTGGCACTATAATTTACAACAAAATCAAGATAGGGTATTTATTTAATGGACAGAAAGGGCACTTTTTATTTTCTGACATGTTCAAGAATATTATAGTCCTTTGCCTCGTTAAATTGAAATTAACATAGATTGTTTCTGATATTGTTATACAAACTTTTGATACAATCTTACACTGCCAATAGAACTTTAAAAGAAATGGTCAGCCATGTGTAGGAGCTAGAAATCAGTTTTCCACTTGTTCTAATTTTTCCAATTTATTTCCCAATTTTCCCCTTCAGTCACAACAAACTTTCACAATACTTTTAAAAGTCCCTTATTCATTAAATATTACTAAAGACAAAAAATTACCTAAGTACTATTTAAGCAAAGATGACTTAAAATACATAGTACGTAAATTTATTTTTAAAAGCATCTTTTCCTTTAGTAATGGACCATGTCTCTAGATAAGGTTGTTCAAGAATATTCTTATGTTGATAAAGGTACACCCAGGCATCAGCTCAGGGCTGGACCCATTCCATATTCAAAAGGTTTTCAGAGAGATTAAAAGAGAAAGTAGACTGGTATGAAGCTTGAATTTTTTTTCTTTTGTTAGTAATAGTGTTTGCAGTTGATAGAAGTTCACCCCTACCTGAACTGAGAGCCTCTATTCCCCAAACTCAGATTACACCCCTGTAATGTGACATACCAATCACTGCATCTGTGACTGCCAGCAAAATACCCACTGGCACCTGCACAATTAAATCCCTCAAGCACATTGTATGTAGCTTAGGACTTCTAGATGATGGACTAATTTTTCAAAATGGGATTTTGTCTCTCTGCATCACTGAGTTAATTTTGAAAATGCTACCCAGGTCATAAATTTTCCCACAGAAAGAAATAGCTTTGTCTAATTTCCTTGCAGAAGTATTTGATAGTGGTCTTTGAATACCTTGGCTCTTATGAATGACTGAGCCTGAACCAGAGGGAAACTAATTGCTCTATTATCTCATGAACAAACCCACAATACTGTGGGGTTGAGAATTTCAGAAAGCTGAGCAAGGCGGCAGGAATTTTACTTCACGTCACAACTGTTTCCGTCAAGTTAGGAGGCATGGATGAAGCACAGGAGGCAACAGCATCTACCGTCATTGTTGACAGATTGAGACTAAACAGAACGCAACTGGTTAAAAAACCCCCACCATAACCCCAAAATACCAAACTCCCCAAAAGCCACAATTTTAATATTTTTTAAGGGGAGAGGTGAAACAAAAGCTTATCAAGCATGAGGAACTCTGCTTGGAGTGGAGGTATTCAAGCCATACCCAAAAGCAGAGACATTTCTGTCAACATCCACTTGCTCTCTGCATGTACACTGCCTCTGTACATAAGAGGGCTACTCTGCTACGTGGGACCACTGCTTCTCATAAGTAGATCACTATGAATTACAGAAACAGGAATTAAAAGGAGGACAAAAGGAAGGCAGGGGTTGGAATGCACAATACCAGCGCAGTGGGGAAAAAATTCAGTAATTGAGTTGGCAAGGAACGTCCCCTTCCTCTGCCAGCACTTTCTCAAATACTTGTCTCGGTGCATTCCTACTGTGCGGGAGTCCCAAGCAATGTACCAGGCTTGCACATGGGTATCTGGAGAATTGCGCGAGAATGACTACAAGATCATCCTGACAGACTTATCTGATGCAGGTGCCAGTGTTAGTGCATGATATTTGAAACAGGCATCACCTCCACATTGCTGGTTTGTACACTTCAGTGGGAAGTTATTTTTAAACAAGGCCACTGAGGTAGCTGGGATCCTCTTAGAATAAACACCAGCAAAGTTATGAGTCAGCACTGGAAAGCTGATAACAGAGCTGGAGGCATTTCAATATCCATTCTGGGAATGCATGTGGAAATAGAATATTTTCTCATTATCTTCAAAAATACAAAGAAAAACAATCTGAAAATTCATCTCAAGAAGTTTAGATTTGACCCTTTCAGCTGCGAGCAGTGGAAAGAAAATTCATGAGTATCAGGAGACACTGCAAAGAACATTGAGTACTGAACACATTTAGATTGTATAAAATGCCAAAAAGCTTTAGGTAAGAAAAAAGATGTAGTTTACAACATTTTCTTAGGATGAATTGCAGTATTTAGAAAATCAGATATTAGTTCTCTAAATTCTGAGGGATGACTTCATAGTTGTAATAAAAATTACTTCAACACAGTGCCTGAGTAACGCTTATTTGAGATAACTGCTCGGATCAAGGTTTCAGGAGAGAATTAAGCTGAGATCTCAAGAAAATTGAATGCAAGAAGATTGCTGTTAAGCCCTTTCAAAAAACTATAGCTATGACTGGACACAACAACATTAGGAAATTATCCACTTAGGCAGTAATGATTTCTGGGCATTCAAATCTCAAAGAGCTGAGATGTCTCAACTTACAAAGACACTGCCCAGTTAATGCTGGCAGCTCCCAGGGGAAATGAAATGGAAGACATTTGTGAAAGTAAAGGCAGTGAAATGCTAATGTATGCTAAAGCAAGCAAAAATGGTTGTGAATTGCATTCTGTTATCACAAATTCATCCAGACGCTATACTGTGAGATAGAAGACGGGAGGAGGGGGAGGGGAAGGACATGACTCTCCCTATGATCTGGCTTCCATCTACGTGTAGGTCAGCTGAAAAAGTTGTGGGAACTTAAAATACTGTGGCCACATGGGAGCTTTGGTATGAAAATTGACTTGTCTTTCTTGATCTTTACCAGGATTCTTGGCAGTAACAATATGGGTGGAGAAAAAATGCGCATCACTTGACTTCGCTGAAGAATCATAAAGGCATCCTCTAGTAAAAACTCTGAATCAGTTTTTCCCTGCAGCAAAAGCTGGGCTAGTTCTTGGTTTGTTACAGACAAATGGATCCAGCACACAGCAAAGATCAAATCAGTTTGTTCTCCAAGGAAATGTTACCAAATGGAGGTCCCATGATGAGTTACCTAACCCAGTACTTGACAGAAAAGCCTTCCTTTAACATGCTCTTCAGATGGTGTATATGTTCACAATTCAATAACAAATAAACAGAATCTGAATAAACTGAAAGAGCAGAGATTTTCTCCAGTTAGGACTGAAGACAAGGGGCCAAGTTGCATGAGAATAGTTAGGTTCTACAGGAAGACTAATAAAACCTTTTATTTCCTTGGTACAAACCAATCTGAAGTAGACTAAATGTACGGGACAAGCACTCATAGGCATACTGATACATTATACACAAATGCAGATAGATATTCAAGTCCCTCCCCAAACTGGGTATTATTGACATATTTGCATGCTTCTGTTTTTAAGTTAAGATATCCTCAGACGGTGCAGGCAAATGTAATTCAATTCAAGGCATACTATTATATTACTCCACAAAAGAATATGCATTCCATTTACGTATAAATAGTATGTGTTCTAGTTATGTATAATACACATGATGACTTGCCTCATGTGCCCTCTGTTGCTCTAAAAGGCTCTGGTAGTTTCCTGAAATCTCTGCCGCCAGCTTCTGCTCAGTCTGGACTAATAAATCCATCCAAGTCTCACATTTCTCCAAGAAGGTTTGCTGCTGCAGCAAGAAAGACTGCAGCTTACTGAAAGAAAGAAGTAAAGATGGATTCAGGTAAGGTCTCCTCCTCCCACACACAGTGTTAAGAGTCCTGCAATAACTTTTCCGGCAGAATTCCAAATCAGATGGTAACACTTTTCCCACTCAGTTGCCTCATTCGATTTATTTAGTCAACACTTTGAAGAGTAGCAGTCTTCCTCATTTCCAATTCTGTTAATTTGTGGCAAAACCAATATCTGAGATCACTGGCTTTGCTCTTTAGTTCTAAGTACACCAAAGAAAAGGAGCTATGGTTAATGAAATATCTGAAAGGTTTTCTATATTCTGCAAAAGATGTACTTTCCAGCTGTTGTAATCTAAGAAAACTATAAACAATCTTTAACTATCCCCACCTGAATCTCTCCGTAGTCTGAGATGAGATCAGAGACCAATGTCTGTTCAGGTTCTGCATCCTTTTGATTTCTTTATCATTCAGAGGAAGCCTGTAACCCAGCTCATTAAGACGGTCCAAATCTGGGGCCATGCTGCTGAACTTCAACATCTGACTCTGCAAGAAACAATAAAATTGATAACTACGAAGTTCAGTAATTACACTATTATAGACTGCAAAATTATGAACTAGCACTCAGTTAAACTTGGAACGGACTTGGTTGCCACCAAGTGGCAAGCAATCCCTATGCCAGGGAAAAATTGCATTTCCAGTTTTTAGCCTCTAATACCAGACCAGGAGAAGTAAACTCAAATTGCACTGAAGTGTTTTGCTAAATTGGGGATTTACGGCTCAGAGCTGCAGAAGTAGGCTAGTGTTTGAAGTCATATGTTTATATCATCAAAAAAGTGAGCTTTTTTCCCTTGTTTCTTAGCCTGAATGCTAAGCTGGCAAGTTCCCATTGAACTTATTCAACTTTTTTAGTTTTTTGTTTTGCAGTACAGAAATACCCAGTTCACTACGTTGGGAAAATGTCCTGGTTTTTAGCATGCCCAAAAGTGGAATTATATTTATAGTTAATCCTGATAGAAAAATAATGGATGATTAAAGTGACAAAAAACAGTCTAGATGGCAAAGTTCATCAACTTCCTGTCAGGGCCTCTGAAAGAAGAGGGGGAAAAAAAAGTCCCACAAAAAGAAAGATTGAAAGAGCTCAAATGGAGATCACATGGCACACAGTACAAATGTTTCTTCAGTATATCAAGATACCCAAAATGAATCGATGACTTCATCCTTAAACTAAATAAGAGACAGGAATTGCATAAATTCAAAAAAAGTTGAGAGAAAACAACATGAAGGAAATCTCAAAAAATGGCTAAAATTTCCATTCCCATTTTGATTTGATATTAATTTTATTCAAAAAAGTTTGCCTGTCTTTTTTCTTTACTCAGGGCAAAGTAACATGGACAATCACTCCTTGAGTGCCATCAAACTTCTCAGTCTTACACTTTGCATGACAGTCCTTTAATATATATAGAATGCATGTATGATATTTGTGCGTGCCCTATACTGCAAATGAGCAAGCTCACAGAAAAAAAATCAACGCTTTCTCAGTGTATTAGTCACCTTGAGTTCCTCCATTCTACTCTGTATTGCTGAGAGATCAGATGAGTGACTGGGATCCTGTCCATTCAATATTTCTTCTGCTTGTGTTATCCAGGCCTCAAGGACTTGCAGATTCTTAGCAAAGGTTTGATAGTCCAGCACTCCAGCCTTGAACAGAAAAGGACCCAAAGCTTAAGAACTTTTGCCACATAGCATCCACATTGACATTACACTCCTAGTTACTCTCATTATAGATTTGCAAACAGCTGTGTAGGCTAGGAGCAATTGTAATTGCTGCTTTGCTCACAGACTGTGTAGTTATTGGGGGTTTTTTAGGTTAGAACAGAGGATTTTTGATCATAGCAAAAATGGAACACTTCAACAAAGTGCATAAATATCTCCTTGCCTTGAAATAGATAACCTTTTCCTCCTAACCTCCTTTTATGAAACTAACTCCTCTCTTTAATTTATTGTCAGCAGAGAGAACCACTAGTTGCTATTATTGCACTTTGTAATGAAAAAAATTCTCTTATGTTTTGTCTCCTCACAGCAGAGTGATGTTATAAGCACATTCTAGGCAATGCTGGATTTCTTGGGAAAATCCTCTTGTCACCCAAACAGAAGCTGCTACCTTTGTTGCTTTCTCACCCATATACTTTCCTACGGAACACATTCTGCCACTCCTTTTTTTGCTCTTTAGTCCCTAGTGACACAAGCAATTAGCAGTATCTACTGAACAGGCTTTGACACAAATGGTAGGTGTCAGTCTGGTCACTGACATTAATAGGAACTGTAAAAATCAATTCTACACGATTATTCAGAATCTCTCATTTGTTTTATTCCATTTGTTTTCTTCAGGGGAGCAGCAGCTGTGGATCCAGCTGTTAGCACTATTCCTGTCCGCAGAAAGCATGGTGCACTTAGCATTTCAGGTAGACACTTTCCTCCATGAGGTTTGCTATGGTCTTGTCAGGATTTGGACCTTCTTACATGGTCTCTATGTTGGACTTGAGCATAGTTTCTACTCTCAACTTTGGCTTCCAGGGAAGTCTAGGAAATGCTGATGAACATGTAACACCACCCTCTTTTCCCAGGCAGTTTTAGCTAATCTATGTGCTTTCAGGTACCACAGGATGATCAGAGTCAAGGACTGAAAAGGTTCTCTGCATACCTGAAGTACAGCCTGTTGCTTGTGGAGAGCCTGTTCTAGGGTTGACAGATTCTGGTTCAGGGAAAGATAATCAGACTGTATAGCTGCTGCTGCTGAAGCCTCCACCTGGCCTTTTAGCTCCTCTCCCAGTTCTTGAAGAACAACCAGTGACTCCTGTGCTGTCTTCAAATCCGTGAGTACATCCTGTGGCAAAGCATTGAATAAAGATATGAACAGTTAACCTGACACTCTGATGATGTCATCCTCCCCTGATTTAAGGGAGGAGTGAAATGACCGAACTCCACCACTATATGAAAAACTTATATTTATGTCATGGCTTAGCTGTAGCTAAGCACCACGTGGCTGCTTGCTTGCTCCACACCCCTCACGGTGGAATGGGGAGGAGAATCAGAAGACAAAGGTAAAACTTGTGGGTTGGAATAAGGACAGTTTAATAGGACAGCAAAGCAAGAGGAAAATAACAACAATACTTATAAAAGAATCTACAAAGCAGGTAATACACAATGCAATTTGCTCACTGCCCAGAACCCAATGCCCAGCCCATCCGGAGCAGTGATCTCTCCTCCCCTGCCAGGTCCTCCCCTTACACAACGAGCATGATGTCATATGGTATGGAATATCCCTTTGGCTAATTTGGGTCAGCTGTCCTGGCTGTGTCCCCTCTCAGCTTCTTGTGAAAATTAACTCTATCCCAGCTGAAAACCAGGAGAATTTACAACTGTATTTCAATGCCAAAGTGTCCACTCATACTCTGTATGAAAAGGAAATAATGTGCAGAATAAAAAGCTATGTCAAAGTACCTGTGCACAGAGGAACAGAAAAAAGTGACTGCTCAGCTACTTTTGAGCACACCTGAGTTACTGATGAGTCAATACTTGTTGAAGCAAATCTTTTGAATCTACGGAGATGCTGATCCTCAGCAGTGGCAGCCCTCACTGTGGGTCAGTTCAGGTCTAACTAGACCTCCCATTTTTTCTTGCTATGAATTATGAGGAGGGATGAAAAAATAAATTTTGTAAATGGCCTAACATAATGGCTAAAGAATGGAACATCAGGAAATGAAGAAATTATCAGAACTGATCAATTCAAATTGCCAGTCCAGGTGACTATGGCAGCAAACGCTCAAAAAGCTCATTAATGTGTTCATTTTTCTCCTTGGAATTGTTTTGCTTACACAAAGACAATTAACATTTCAATTTTTTTGTCAATGACACTTAACTTAAACCCAAAAGAACCAAAACGTGACCACAGATAGGAGATAAATTATCCTTCTGCCTTGAGATACTATTTTGAAAAAGGAAGAATCTCAAGGTTTCAGAGTGAATGGTGTCATTCCATAAGGAAGGATAAAGACATCCCCAGAACATAGTCTCTTCATTCAGAAAAAGTGAACAGCCTCGATCGATGGGAATACAGTCAAAGGATCTTGTGTTTCTTTCTATTACAAGGAACTCAATAGATTAGGTAGAGGTATTTTCCCAAGTAAGAATCCCTTTGATAAGCAGGGACTTAAGATTGAATCAAATGATATAATTTATCTGCCTTCTCCAAAGAGATGACTTCAGATACAAGCTTCTGAGACAACATCATGACAAGTAATGGACGGATCACATGAAAAGTTTGAGAAACTCGTGAGATTTGGGTAGCAGATGTAAAGCTGTCTCTCCTGTGCCTGACATGCATCAGTAAAAAGAAATGCATTTGTGTGCAAGTTTCCAATACACCAAGTATAGTGTTTAGTAATGGAGAGCCTGTTGTGATATTTTAGCCCACGGTGCTGTGAAAAAATGCAAAGCTTAACTGAACATACATTGCAGTCCTGAATCCAAGTAGTAACTTCATCATCGGCTATGTCTTTGCTGGTGGCGGTCTTCAGGAGTTCATTGGTCTGGTCTTCCCTCTGATGGACTGCAGAAGAGCACTGCTGGTAACAGTCCTTGTACCTCTGCCACAGCTGCAGGAGACCCTTACTGGCACGCAGCCTCTCTGCAATCTCCTGCAGAAGGTTGTTCCACCTGGTGAAGAGATTGGATGAATCATCGAAGCCTAGAAGTCCACAAGAACTATCCCTGCCTGCTGTTTCCCATGGTCTTTTGCCTTCTAAGAAATTTGGTAATCAAGATGCAGACATTTGGGGGGAAAAAGAAAAAAGGAATCCAAGAAATATGTTAACAGGCTGTTCCGACCTGTCACAGCAGGTCTGGTCTGTGCTGCATCTCGGATGCTGTATATTGGTGCTTGAGGTCAGAGCTGGAATGCACTTTCTGAAGTGAACCTCCTGCTATTTCCACTTAGCACACTTTGGTTCACTGCGCAGAGCACCCATGACCAACCATGAACTTCCAGTACCAGATTCCTGCAAGGGCTTAGGAGACCCAAACCAGGTGTAAACATGAAACCATTTCTTCTGCTGCAATTTCCTCCCACACCCTGACAGAATATTTAAAGTTATAAAGCTCTGTGTAACTCCCTTCTGAAATACTCCCAGACTTATTAAAACTCTTTATATTTTTATTATCCAGTTAAAATCTAATCCCCTTTTGAATTCTTGGCTCTAATGGCAACCAGAAACATGTACTTTCTCAAATGTGCTGGTATGTATCAAATTGCTTCATTGTTTCTTCACTAAAGGAAATAATAATATTTTTCAATTATTATTATGTGATAAAAACTGGTGAAGTGAATGTTCTGTCAGTCATCACTGAATCTGTTAAATCCTACAGTACCTTTTTTGAAATGGGGCGAATAATCCCTCCCTCCACTTCCAGATTCTAGGACAGGATGGACCACAGATTAAAATAAATTTGTCATGGTTGTGTATTCAAAGAAATCTCCAATGTTCCACCAAACTTATTTTTACTTTTGGATCCTGCCTTCTTGTAGCTTCTCTGAGTAAACTCTTGCACTGGTTCTGGCCTGGGTTCAAAGTTGGGGAAGCTGTTTGCCAAGCTACTGGTGAAGGTGTAGACTTTCTTGCCCATCATGCCCTTCCTACAACTAGAAATAGCAACCTGAAACCTGGGGAACCTGGTGCATGCATAGCAAGAAAAATTTTCAAACAGGATTCTCACGTGCTAAGGGTAATATTATTTTCCAGCATGGTGTTTATGCATTTTAGTTGGCAGCCATGCAAAGCTACTAACAGTAATGTCCAAACACTTTGCTGGAGAAAATAATGTTTCATTTATTATTAGCAGTAGTAAATGACACAGTTCTGCTCCAGCCTGCCCCCACAAACTCCAAAAACCATAAAATAATAAAATATAACAAAAATAAAAATTATGCAAAACTGAGTCAATGTATAAATGCAAATTTACCACTGAAAGTAAAGTTTAACACACAGACATTTTCTACCTCATATTCACTTCTTTCAAAGTGCTGGTGAGTGTTTCAGTCACTGGTGGGTGACATTCTTTCAACAATTCATTGGTCACAGAACCAAATTTCTGTAAGGTATTTTCTTGCTTTTCCAATTCATCTTGTAGGCTCTAAAACAGATAAAAGAAAAAAATTTAAAAAAAGATACATGAGGTATTACAATTGCAAGATGTAGAAACATTTCAAAATAGTATGTATTAATTACATCTTTCAGGTTATGAATGCAAAACTTGATTTCATGTGTGTTTCATCTAAATAGAAGGTTGCTTAATATAAAGGCTGTTGTTAGATCCACTTGATTCAATATCAAGGTGTAGCAAAGAGTAAATTTTAACCTAATATTTTCTCAAATGTAAAAATGTTGTAAAATAAATTATTCTAAACAAGTACTCTTGCCCAGAAGGAGTAAGTGCATAGAACTGCTTCAGAAATAAAAACTTAACTGATGGAAGAAAATAAATTAAATAACAGTTAAAATTAAATTAAATTAAATAACATTTAAAACTTTAGTTTTAATGGTCACCAGCACAATTTAAAAACTTTTAATGATTTGACAGCACAGCTCAACATTTAAAGAACAGCATAAAAAAAATCTACAAATGAAAAAGTATCACCATTTTATTTTTCTGCAAAATGAAAAATGCAATGGCTATTTGATAATGTGTTCTCTTAATGTCATGTGATTTGAATGTGCTACTATGTCTGTACTTCCATTTTGTATGAACCAAAATGTATAGTTATCTGCATCAATGCACGAGGACAAAATTAGTCCTTAAATCCATGCTTAGTATGTCAAGTGGCACGGTATTCTTTTCACCTGAAGGTTATCAACTTGGACTTTCACAGCTTCCAGAGAACCAGTAAGAAGATAAAAACGGGACAAAGAATATCTGGCTTCTGTCAGGTAACTATTCAGTTCTTCATAAGTGACTTTGTAAATGCTCCACTGATCAAGAACAGATTGCAACAATATCTTCAGTTGGCTAACCTAGGAGAAGGGAGGAAGAAAAAAATAAAAAGTGACTTAGAAACATTCAAGATATTTGGAGTTTGTTTAAATTATTTCCTTCCTTTTGATCTCAGATACTACTTGTTCTATGTGCCTAATCTTAAACCTGTTGGAGAATGAAGATTTTGCACAACCATCAGCTGGGCTTACACTGGGTACAGCATAAAGTGCTGCTTGATTTTATAAAGCTAGGATGGCAGAGACTGAGAAGGTATCAAGTCCATTCTACTTTGGTCCAAAGCAGGATCAAGAGAAAAGGCTTAAGACTATGAAACACATATCCCTAAGGCAGGCAAATCAGCCTATGAAATTTAGCAGAGAGAGGCTCGCACTAACACACTGCATTCAACCTGAGAAGGTGGACCGATGTTGTCAAGCTTTATCCAAAAGCTTGATAACCTCTTAATGCTGACCTCTCCTTATTCTGCAAGACCTGTATGCTTGAAAAGGTAGTTTCTTACAGATCATTTGGTACCTTTCTACTAAATATCAGGAAGAATCTAAAAAGCTTCAATTACAAGAATTAAAAGCATCCTTGAAATAGGAAATATTACACCCATTTTATGTGGTGCGTACACACAAACTTGGGGATAGGTGGAAACAGGGACAAAATTCAGAATCTCTTCCCCAACAATACAGAAGAAATTCAGTAGCTGCAAACTGCTGATTCTCTGTTCCTCCATGCTCTATTCCTGGAGCTATAATTTGCCCCATGATGATTCTTTTACCATGTGATCCAAATTTGCCCAGGAATGGTTAATTTCTTGCAGTGTATTCATAACAACAGAGGAGACTTCTTCCTTCTTGTTCTGTATCAAAGAAAGACCACTCTGTTCTACATTTTCTACTTCTTTTTCCTTTGTTCTTATTGATTCTTCTAATTCCTGAAAAGAAAAAGAAGACACCTCAGTATTTTTGTTTGTTTAATTGGATAGATGATACCTTTGAGACAGAAAAGATGCCCATAAGCTCCCTAGTTTAAAAAATAGGAAAGTCACGCTTGCATACTTTGGCTTTTTATTCTCAAGAGAACCATAACCCATCAGCATTTTTATGTAACATTTTATGTTCCTTTTAAAGCATAGTTGTTTGTCTTTAATTTAAATAGAAGCATGTTCTCTACATTAAACTTCTGTGTAATCTTTTGCTCTCCTGTAACAGCCCAAAACTCATTAAAAATAGGACAGCAGTTTGAATACATGGGAAAATTGTTGTGTGTTTAGTTTATCCTAGAATACTGAGAGGGCTTCTTAATTAGTCCAAAGCTGGCTCAAGCCTCTGGAAAAAAATGAATTTTGCCACCCAAGGAAAAGGACAAAATGACTTCCTAGGGAAATATGTCAATTTGCCATGCCCCCCCACCATGAAGTAGAGTCTTTATTCCTTTGCCAGGTCCCAGCAAAGCCCCTTGCCTGAGATCAGCGAGCCTTCCCCTTTTCTAGATGACAAGTTCATTGGAGTCCAGCCAATGACAACAAGCAACAGACTGCAGGAATTTTCCTTATTGCCTCCTCAAGGTTGCACGACATTGGGAAGCATTAATGAGCTCGACAGCATTTTGCTATGCTCAGCGTTCCCACACACTAACACAAGAAAACGGGAAGAAAATGAACGGCTGGTGTGAAAACAAGTGAAGAAAACAGGGCTGGGCACATAAGCACTGAGGCCATGACAACTTGTTAGCGGCTTGTTTTACTGCTTCAGGCAAGTGCTGACTGTTTTTGACTTAAGATGCCCCTAGATTGGTCATGGAAATGCTGAGTCAAAGTTTGCCAGTTTTATCAAGTTTTATCCACAAGCGAAGTGCTGAAGCATTCACTAGTCACAAAGCCTGTGATGTTTCTCACTGCCTCAACAGCATGAGAATGAAGTTACAAAACAAAGGAGAGAGGACAAGAAGACTCAGTGAGCAACTGTAAGTCATATAGCATGCTCCCATAAGTTTGTTCCTAGCCAGGAAATTACCTATATCATTTCATGGCACAGTGCAGGGAGATCCAAGAGAGTCCTGCAATGCTCTTACTCATGTGGAAGCTGTGGAGCTTCAGCTAGTGCAAACACTGAGTCTGAGCAGAGGAGGGGGAAATAGGACCTGTAGGTGACAGACCAGCACAAATTTGTGCTTACCTATCTGGAAATAAAGTAGTCAGCGTGATATGGAAAAAAGACTGTGAGGTGAGGGCAATCTTGTGATGCCCCTACATTAATTACTACGTCTTGTGATCTCAGGTTATATTTTAATTTTTGTCTATGTTCTGCAAGCATTTCCTTTCCAAGAGAGATGGGTCATAAGGAAAAGAAAACAATACAACAAAACTTTGGGCAAACTGAAAACTCATGTCTTTCAATAAATTACTCTCCCTAAGAATCAAAAAAAACCCCAAACCACACACCCCCACAACCCCCACCAAGTGAACCACTGCTATAGAAGACTTTACATTTTAGATTGTGGGGAAAGTATTTGGAACCAAATTCTGCTCAGTCTTGCAAACACTTGCTAGTAACAGAATTTATCCCTGCACACATACAAAACACTTTCGTCTGTATACATATATGTGAGAGCACTTTTGCTGCACTGTTTTTTCTTAGCCTTTTCTTCTGCATTATTTCACATTTCTTCAAACTTCTAGCCATGACCTTGTTCCAGACTACAGCCATGGAGTAATACATCCTTTTTTTACCAGCTGACACCAAAGTAAACTCTTCTAAGTTGTCCATAGTAAATATGACTTTCCAAAAAGTGGATTTTAACACTAAAAAAAGCATTCAAGTTTGTACAAAGTTTCTCCAAAATTCAGAATGTAAAACAGGCAAAAGTTTCAAACATCAAGAACAGCAAGTATTTCTGGTTCTCTGTAGAAAGGGGTTCCTTATTCATCATTTTAAATTTATAACTAAATTAAAGACACATTACTGTTTCTGATCTGCGATGGAAAAAAAATGGTTCCCTTCACTTAGTATGACACTAGGCAGCAATTAACATTGGTTAATAAATAAACTGCAGCTTTTGTACTAGTTGAACCGGATACCTGGGAGTGTCTGTTACAGTTATTTCTTAAACAATTTGTTTCTCTGCTGATCAAAGTCTTGCCATTCATAACTGACTCCCCAAGTGTATTTGCTAACTTCCCTGACCAAAAGGAACCATAAAGGTGATAAATCAGATTTGGCTTTGAACTCCAGCCAAGCACAGCCTGCCGATAATGTCAGGCTATGCTAAATTACCCTTGCTTCAGTCATATGGGCTTATTGTGCTGAAACCATAAGGATACCTGAATTGAAACTAAGCACTGCAACCAGTTTGAAAATTTAGGCCAAGAACTTTGGAAAAAAAATTGACTTCTAACATATCTGGTCTAACCAACTATTTGCCTTTACAGAAACAAAGATGGATTTATTACACTGGTGAATATAGATTAAATTATCTTATGTATTTAATTTGAATAGATTTCCAGCTGTTCTGTTGGTGAAGACTTAAAAGCTAGCTCATATCTGTGCCATTCATTAAATGCATGCAGGAAAGACAGCAACACCGAGATAAACACGCTTCCTTATTCCCTTTTAAGGGGATGAGAACAGCAAGATTTTGGACATGCGGTTGTCCTGACAGAGTTTAATTACACATTTGATCTGGTGTGAAATTTATTATTTGGTGTCTGGTAGAACGAAATATTTTTGAGCAAAAATCATCTGATGCCTGATACCATGCAGAAGCCTTGTTTAGAAATTCAGAAAAATCTCTTTTGCCTATACACTTATAAACTTGAACTCTAGCGTGACAGCTCCAGAAGCAAGCTTCTAACTACTTAAATATGTGCTATTCTGAATAAGATCTTCAGAGTCAACTGTTATAGCCTATTCACTGCTGTGTAGTCCTTGTACGAATTTCATATGAAAAACTTAAGTGGTTCCGAACTTATGTGCTTATAGCTGAGCTTTGCCTCATCTTGTCTTTGCTTATCATAATCATGATTCTCCTTCAGTCTTCTGAAAGCAAGAGGGAATCCAGCACTATTGCCTTCTCTGGATAGTTGAATATTTGAAAAAAATTGATTCCTAACACATTTTAAATAACAGCATAAAACCTGCTTGGATTCTGGAATTTTTCTTTGAATAGTCAGGTGGAATACATCAGGTGGAAAAAGAATGGAAAAAAAGGAAGGGGGGCAGAGGAAAGGTTGTGATAAAGCAGAAAAGAACAAGTTTCCGAATAGTCAAGCATGGTGTTCATGACATTGAGTTCCATAAGACTGGCTAAACAGGAATGGGAACATGTTTCTAGTTCAGTATGCCTGGCATGCTTGGAAATATCCATGCTTTAATACACAATGCAAACAGAATGACAACATCAGTTGTTTTAAAACATTTTTGGGACATTGTTGCTTCCTCCTTTCTTATTGCTTTCACTTTGGGTATGAAATCTCTCCCTCACTGAAGTAAAGAGGAGTTCTGTCACTGACTTCACTGATACGAAAATTTCACATGGCTTTATTGAGTGTTGTTTCTAACTGTTGGAAAGAGAATATTGTTATTTATAAGAGGACATTACCTGACAGTCTTTCAAAGCATTCTGTACTGAAGCCTGGTCTCCAATTTTCTGTTGCTGTTTCAGCTTCTTCTCCTGGGTTTCAAACCAAGTTTTTAGGCACTGCACGTTATTTTCATATTCTGTCCAGGATTCCTGCAGACTTTCCAACAGCTGGATCTGCAAAGAAGTATGAGTATATACTTTCTCATATAATTACCTTTACTGTTGGGTCAACTAAATAAATCAGTGAAGACCAATGTAGATCAATGCCTTCTCAGAATTCAATGTTTTCAGAATTTAAAAACAGTATATGCATTCAAACTGAAATACATCTGCTATTTGTGAAAGAGTTCATGATGAAAAAACCTGCTTTATCCAGAAATAATTATATAGAGATAACCTATTAAAATATTATGGCACACTGGAAGAAGATAACACTTTAGCAGAACATTTTTATGAAGTGGAATTAATTACAGAGATCAAGGACCTTAGGACTTCCCAAACAAAACTAAGCATACAAACATACATTTTACATTTCTTGCTTATAACTGTGTAAAGTAGATGAAGATCTTTTTACTTCCTTTGTCAATTGACTGCTTTAAATTTACTTAGATTTTTCTGATTGTTCTAGGTGTTATTCAATGTCAAATGAGATAGCACGTCTATTCTTAAAAAAAAAAAAAAGAAAAAGAAAAAAAAGAAACAAATAACAAAGCAGAAATTGAAAATAGCAGAATTGTCATGAAAAGCATTCACATTACTTAAGACAAGCTCCACTCTAGGGAATGAGCCATCTTAATTAGCTGTAATCTTAATTGGAACTGCTTGAGGATGTGATGGTCAATAGCAGTCTTGTCTATAGTGATGACGAGACAGTTGTGAATGAAGTAAGGAAAGCAAGTAGCAGACTAAAGACCCTTAGAATAGCAGACTCGTTTGTTTAGGTAAGCATGATTTCATGGGAAACTGTACTGAAGGACAAAGGAATCCAGGAAGCTGGTTGGTCTTCAAGGTCAACTCCCTCAAGTCACAAAAATGACAAATCCACAGAAAGTGGATTACAAAGAATGGGCACAGAAGCGTGGCCTGGCCATGCAGGGCTGATGTTAGGAAAGCAAAATCTTGGATGGAACCAACTAGTGAGGGACAGAAGCCCTTCTTGCTACTCTTCACAAGTACATCAGTAACTAATGGGAAGCCATGGAATAATCTGAGGTAAACGATACCTTCTTTGCTCTGATCTTACTGACAAGGTCTCCTCTCATGCCTCCCAGGTCTTCATGTCAATTAACAAATTTTGGCACACAGAGGTACTAGCCATGGAAGAGGAGGAAAGAATTAGGGGCTACTTAAATATGCTGAATGTATAAAAGTCCACAGAACCGGACAGGATGTATCAAGGGTGTCAATGTCATTTCAAGACTGCTGTCTATGACCTTTAAAAGGTCATCACAGCTGGAGGAAGTTGCTGATGACTGGAAAAAGGCTATAACACAAAACCTGCCAGAAGCCATTTGCACCTGCATAAAAAAACAAGGAAGAGGAACAAGCATGGTCTGACCAAGGGCAAATTGTGCCTGACCTAACTGATTGCTTCTGCCATGATGATATGACTGACCCTGTTGACAAGTGGAGAGTCACAGATGTTGTTTACCTTGGCTTTAGCAAGACTTTTGATATGGTATCCCATAGTACCGTTGTAGCAAAATTCAGGAGGCATGGGCTGAATGGGAGGTCTATAAATGAATGAAATGACCGCAGTCATCAGACTACAAGGAGAGGCTGGCTTCATTCAGCCTAGGGAAAAGAAGGCAAAGGAAGCATCTCACTCTGCTGTCAACTCTTTATGGGGAGTTATGGGGAAGATGGAGGCAGACTGTTTGTGGAGATGCACGGTAAAAGGAGAAGAGATGAGAGTTACAAGCTACAACAAAGGAAATTCTGATTGGGAGCAAGGCAAAAACTTGTCCCCCACGAGTGGTGAAACACAGGAACAGGCTGCCCAGAGAGTTTGTGGAATCTGTCCTTGGAGATTTTCAAAATTCAGTTAAGCAAGTCCCTGTGCAATCTGATCTAACTGTAAAGTTAGCTCTGAGCAGAAATTTGGACTAGATGACATGCAGAGGCTTCCAATTACCATCTTACAGTTCTATATGTTGCAAGTTCACTACAGAGCAGCTAGGTTTTTTTATTTACCTTTTCTGTTATCAGGCCTTGCAGGATTTGCCAACGTCTGTTCATTGCTCCAAGCTGTTCTGCAAAATCAGTTTTGTCGCTACGTTTACTTTCGACATCCTGGCTGCTAATTTGGAGCACTGATTGGTTCACAAAGTCTACCGTCAATTGTTTGCAATTTATATCTATCTTGAAACCCTGGTAGAAAAGAAAGGAAAAAAACCCCAAAACATAAGTACCATAATTTTTTACCTTCCTGCAAAACAGAGGAAAAACATTCATAAATTATAACTTTACCACAATTTAGCTAAAAGGTTTTTTAGCAATTGAACAGCAATTAAAAACATTGTTACTTTTCCCTAAATATTGAGAAATAAAGCAGCAATACACTGTCTGTGGAATAAAGAATCTGCCTTCTCCCCTACCCTACTCCACACCACTCCCTGCCAAGAAAAAAAACTTAAAAAAAAAAAAAAATCAGTAACATTATTGATATTGGTCTCAAGGATCAGATTTAAGAAAATCTGAGTATATTTTTTTCACTTCATTTAGTCTCAAAATTTTTAATACAAAAAAATTTTTGTATTAAAGATAAGATGGAAAATATTCTTACGTACAAAGAAGAATAATAGCCAAGAAGTGATTTTTCAGGAGATTAGCAAAACAAATCTGGCACTCAGAAAAAATCACTGTGTGCACATCTATTACAAGAGTGCTCCTGATCTAGTTCAGGAAGTGAAATTGTGTTATATCTATATACCTCAATACTTATCTCAATGTACAGTATCTTTCATTTTTTCTTCAGATACTGATCAAAATTGTCTTGATCTGTAAACCACTGGCCACCTTCCATTCAAGAACAGGCTAGACTTTGAGAAGAAGGTGGTATTATGCAGAGAATTCATAAAATAACATACATAATTTGCAAAGTGTTTTGTGGTTTTGGGTGAAAGACAGATCTAATAAGCTTTAATCATGTGCATATTGCTTTGGATTTATCTGGAAATTAAGGTAAGCATATTAAAATTTATATTCCTGCCATAACAAAACAGAAGAGTAAAAGTAATTTTGGCTTCTTTTCCACAGTATCAAATATTACCCAGTTCTAACTTGTGAACAATTCTAACCACTCCACAATATAAGGCTTTTGTGTTTTTTTTTCTTTTTTTCCCTTAAATCACTTATACTTTACATATGTACATATATTTAATGAGGATAATTCAAAAGCAAAATCAGTAACATTTCCACTCAGTACCTTGTACTTCTGGACGTAATCCTGAATGGCTTTCTGTCCTACTACATTTTTTATATTCTCTTCGTCCTGCTTCCTGCTGAATGACATTTTCCATCAGGGAAATCCAGCTCATAACTTCAGTGATAGCATGGCGAGAAGGAATTTTGTCCATCTGGAGCTGTAGAGATAACAGATGTAAAATGCATGTTGTGAAGAAAATGGATAAGAATTCCTTGCTTTGCATTACCATAGTACATTTCCTTTACCTGCTCTTATTATCATGTTATTCTACATCCCTAACATATCACTGAAGTTTATTAAAAAAAAAAAAAAAGTGAAAAAACCTGAAAGTTTTTAATAGGAGGTGTATAAGTGCAAGCATCCTAATAAAAAAAAAATCTGATATTAAAAGCTTCATATTTCCATTCTTCATAAAGAAACTGGACAAACTCAAAGATTCCATTTCTGATTTCCAAAAGGTTCTGCATTCTCATTCCATAATTCTGTGTTTGGCTTACGTAGAAGATCAACTTTAAGCTATGCTTTTCCTGTCCTTGTAAATGGGTAATGAATAGACCCATGGAAAATAATTTTATACAACTCTTCTTGTGGTGGTGATTTCTAAATGGGCTGATTTTGAATAGTAACTGTTTTTCTTAAAAGCGCCACTTTCAACATCTGATATGGTAGTGCTTACTTACATTTAATTACTCAGAAATATGTTCTATGACATTTTTATGACACATATACCTAAAGTATACATAGAGTATTATAGCATTAAAAACCCAAAACTACACAACCAAAACCCTCCTGCTCCTACATACACTAGCAGGAACCTTGCACAATGTTTTTAGATTTATTTTATCTTGCACAGACTTGAACCCAGTCTATTCAATTTGAAAAAAAACTATCATCCAAATCTGACGGGGCACAGAGATGCGAACTCCCTTTTTCCAAAAAACATATCAACACGTTGAAAAAACCTTCATCTGCTCTTTGTTTAAAATGTAACAAATGTAACTGCGAAAATTTGCCATTAACACCAATTGGTGTTAGACAGTATGGGTAGACAGGATTTGGACATAAGTGTACACTTTCCCCCATTAAAACAGGAGTAACATTGTTCCTATCTTGCCTCACATGCATAAATTGAGGAAGGGAGCAACCACCTCTCAAAGGCAGTGCCAAACTTACGGTCTGAATTTTCTGGAATACCAAAGGCCATCACTGGCCTTCCTTACCTGGTGCAATTTCTCTTGTACTGCTGGGATTTGTGTGAGCAGCTCTGTCCACTGACTGTCAATGTGGGACAATCCCGCACGTAATGCTGCTGTATCCACCTTCTTCAGCCTGAGGAGCTGGTTCCCAGTACTCAGGACAGAAGACTTCTGCGATGATTTAGCATCCACTTCTTTTGAAAACTCCTGTAAGTAGAATCATTTTTGTGGAAATAATCAACTACTTGTTTATTGTACTTAAAGCTTGACCTCAGAAAGCTAAGAATATCCCCCTTCCCTTTAAAAATATGTACTTTCTATTACTGTTTACCAGCTATACTTCAGACCAAGTGAGAACAAAAATTATTTTCAGTCATAAAAACCATTTACTGTTTTCAGAATCATCAAGCTTTACAATCATTGCCTACAGCAAAAGAGTGCTGCATGTGCAAACACACCAGTTTTTTGAAGGACGGCTCCCCTACAGAAGCAGTTTTTGGTTTTTTGGTTTGGTGTTTTTTTTTTTTTTTTTGCATACTCACTACTTCAACCATGAGAAAAAGTATAACCATATGATCACTCAATCGTTTATTTGTAATTGGAGAGAAAAAGGTGTCCTAGGTCTGTGAATGACTTACCAAAAAGGAGTTCAGGTGGTCTCGGACTGTTTCCAGTTCCTGAGGAACTGTCAAAGACTGCTGGCTCCAAAACTCAAGTCTCTCCTTTGCAGATTGTAACCATTGTGTCAGTTCACTTGATTCACTCTGATATCTGTAAAGATGTTTAAAGAAAACTAAAACAGTCATTGCCACTTCTTGCCTCCAACTGAACAGTCTCTCCTCCATGTGTTAAGAGGAAGATACTGTATGCCAGATTTAAAATAAAAATATTTTCTTTATTAAATTTTGGGAAAATATGATTTAATTTTAGCAACAGGCATGGTATCAGGAAGCTCTTATTTTAGCCATTACACCCACAATTCCTAATAGTGACTTCTTTTTGCCTCTTAGGAAAAACTAAGTTTAATGAAGGACTAGTAACTAGGTTACCAATCTGTTTGGGTAATCTGCAACAGCACACACACCCCCCAAACATGTTTTTGCTTCCCACTAGAAGGCTCAACATTCCAAAAGCTTTACCACAAGGTATCTCAGAGCAGAACTTTTTTTTCCCCCCAGAAACGATCTCCATATCATTTAATATGCCAATCAACTAATGAGATGTCAGAGTGAAAGTGTCTCCACATAACGTTTATACATACAATCCCTTTATGTCTCTCTCTCTTGAAAGGCTAGCGGGTCAGCAAGCCAGGGATATTATGATTAATAGACAAAGCTTGTATATCACTTAGAGAATTCATTTCAAAAGTAGCATGTGAACAATACTAAAGGCAGCTAAAATCTCCTTCCTATATATGCAATGACACAGACCCACAAGAACCCGGCAGTGGCAATGCCCCCTACCAGAATGTGCTGAGGCTACTAATGCTACCTAGCAAAGCACACACCCGTTCTCATCAACCTGTATGGACATGGGGCTTCTAACTTAGTCATCTAAATAAGATATCTTCTGACTTCCTCCCACCAGCTGTTTTCTGGTACATGTTTTATTGCAAATGAGAGAGTATGATAGCGCTTGTATGGAACAGACGTAGGGTATTGTAGAGTAGTCAAACTATCACATACATCTCAAAGTACTTTCTTTTAAATGTCAAATCTAATAGTTCTGAATTCAGAATGGCTTTGACCTGAACAGCACAGGTGAAGAAGTTTATACTGTCCATTACATCAGCATTACCTTGTCCAGTGCTTCAGTATTGTCTCCAGCCTGTGAAGCTCTTTGGTAACCTTGCTGGTGTTACTTAACCAGCGTTCTCCTAGCTGGTTCAGTTGACTTTCGAGGTCTGAGCAGCTAACAGAAAAAAGGAGCCTTTTCCCATCATCTAGCACTTGGTATAATTTAGGTTGGTATTCAGTCAGGTTAGATCTCAGATGCTGTAATGACAGAGGAGATGATTAAATAGCTCTGCAGGTCTCTGCCACCACACTTTCTCAAAATTTTGTTTTCTTTTATTGCATTTTGTAGCATATCCAATGTCACCATGGCACATCACATTTTTTCCCTCAGCTCCAGCTCTAGAACTCCCCAAGAACCATCATGCAGGTAAGCTGCTTGGAATCTGATCGTGCTGTCACAAAATCCCTCACTTCAATATGCCATTGACACGTTCTTATGATGAACTCCTCCTTGGTGTAGGTATTTCTTGAAAAGAACAATTTCAAAAGAATCTTCATGGGGCAACACCATTTCTGAGAGAAATTGATTAAAATGTCAGAACTTAATCTACCATCTGCTGAAAACTACTGCAATGAAAGTTAAAGATATCCAGTATCAAGTTATTAACAGTGGCCACACTTCAGACCTTTCAATGCCTACCTTCAGCTCTCTGGTCATCTAACTCTTCTTTTACTGATCTACTACCCTGCTATCCATGGCTACAGAAGAGAAGATCACCTCCCTCATCCAAATCCCTGAACACAGAAGCCAATTGTTATGAAAGCACAAAAGCTACAGAAAAAGGATTAGCTATTAATACTCTTACTCTGAATCCAACCGGGAACAGAGACAGATTTCATTTAAGTGGTGACTTGTGGATTGGTAAACAATTTGTATATGTGGGCAAATACACCTGCCAAATTCCGCTATAATTATACAAATAGTATAGATTTTAAAAACATCTGTATATTTGACTGAGCTTCAGCACAAAATATACATGCATTCCCATTTTCAGTTATGCTGAAACTAATCTGAAGATTAGCGTACAAAACTACTAGTGTCACGGTGGCTACATAAACTTTCTATCATTCTTCTTATTTTTTCACATAAATAGTGCTCTAATAACTTAAAAGAATTTTTATATTTATGTATTTATCTGTGTGTACCTACATATAACATATATACACAAATAAATATATAACTCCCAGAAAGAAGCATAACAAAATTCAAAGATAGCCATAAATTAATTAAGATAGATTTTTAACCTAAACGTGGTCACAGGGAGATAAAAAAAAAAAAAAAGTATTACAATTATGCCATAGCAGCATCCCAGAATCTGGATTTGAATAACCTAATTTATGTAACTGACAAGAGAAACAAAAGGAAAATTAAGGGTTAGGTTAGAGGGTTAGGCCCAACACAAACAATGCCTAGCATTGAACAAAACCAAAATAAAACCCCCACACAATAGATTGCTTAAGTTCTCCTCATACCATTGCAAAAGCAGAAAGCTGTCTAGTAAAAGAACAATATACTTAAACTCAGAGTAGACAAGAAGTCAATTTGCAAGAAAAATTTGGCAGACATTTTTCTGTGAAACAAAACAAGAAAACAAGAAAAAGCCAACCAAAGTGTCTGGTGTATAACGAGACAAAGACAAAACATGAGACCAGAATTCTCAGTTTGAGAACAGATTGAAAAAACAGGATGTGGTAGAAAATCTATATTTAAACTACTAGTTCTTGTTGCATTTGAGAAGGAGGAAGGCAACTTGGGGAACTGCAGGTTTTTCAACCTCACCTTGCTTTCTGGAAACATCGTGGAACACACCTCATTGGAATCCATTTTCAAGGACAAAAAGATCAAAAAGGTAATCAGGAATATTCATCTTGGATTCACTAACTTGACAGACTTTTATGACAAAATTACTGTCTCTGTGGATGACACTGACTTCAGTATGGCCTTTGACACTGCCTCCCATAGGACCCCCCTCTGGAAGCGGAGAGAATGTGGGCTGGATACATGGACTGTTACATGGGTTGAAAACTAGCTGCATTACCAGTCTCAAACACTAATGATCAAAGGCTTGATGTCTGGCTGGCAGACTGTAATGGGCAGAGTACTCTAGGGATTGTTGATATTTGAGCCCAAACATCTTCAACATCTTCATTAATGGCATTGATGATGATAGCGAACGCTCCCTCAGTAAATTTGTGGATGGCGCTAACGTAGGGAGAGTGGTTGACACAAAAAATGGCAGACTTAGTCCAGAGACACTTTGACAAACTTGGGGTTGGAGGCACCAGAAACCTTAGGAGGCTCAATAACAAATGCAAATTCTGACCCTCGGGCAGAATAACCCTGTTTCTCAGTGCAGGCTAGGAAGGGAATGCCTAATGCATTTAACCTGGCATCTTCCATACCCAAGACATCAGGCAAGCCACAGCTGTGATCTACATTAGGACTGTGAATGACCAACTTAAGTTATTTTTTTATCTCCATCTACATGGTGCTGATGAGGCCACAACTAGTGCATCTGATTCTGCCATGCCCCCACCTCCCACTGAGTTCAAGAAGAAGGAAGTAGTCAGGGTCTGGTGTAGAGCTATTAAGATGTTTAGGGACCCAGAGCACACGTCCTTTAAAAAGAGGCTGAGGGAGGTGTGCGTGTTTTAGATTTACAAACAGGAGACTAAGGACTAGTCTAACAAAGACCTATTAACTATTTGGTGTAGAATTAAAAAGATGACAGAGGTAAATGCTCCTTAGCTGTGTCACACAATATAAAAAGGACAATGGTGACAAACTGAAAGCTGAAGGTTTAAATTTGGCATTATAGAAAATCTTTTCAGTAGGAAGTGGTGCAGCACTGCAATTGGTCCCCAGCTCGGCTGTGGGATCTCCATCTTTTGAGGTTTCAAGCACCATGGCTGATCTAGCCCATGGCAACAGTCCTGCTTCAAGTGGGAAGCTGGACCAGATAACCTTCAGAGGTCCCTTTCATCCAGCTTTTCCATAAAGAATATCTAAAAAGCACCAACCTGAAAAAGTATAATCCGGTCTGTAAGCCTGTCCTCTGTCTCTTCCACCAAACCAACAGCGGGGATGCTACCTTCAACAGACTCCAGCTGTCTGGTAAGTTCCTGGTAATCTTCATCCAGATGCATCCAGGTCTGCAAGCACAAATTATCCATGTATACAGTGAATATTGATCTGGGTATCTAGAATTTTTATTATTTGTTTTCTCAAGCTGAAATCCTATAGCTGCATGGTTGTGAATATACAGAAATTACAGGACAAATGTCTGGTAAACCTATAATAAGACACCACCTCTGTGTCAAGCTCAGCTTTTAGTTAGAACATATGGATAAAGGTGTCATGTTCTCCTTGTCAGCTAAAGCTAAGTAGGTCTTTTAAATTTAGAGGAACACAACTTGTGTCACCTGAAGGTCACAACAGTAAAATAGCAAAGATTACACGTAGTCTATCAGTGTCTTGTGTGTATGACAAAAGGGACTGATGTCCACCAATTATGTCCAAGCACAGGAAATCAACATTACAGAATATCCTGGTGGTTGATCACAATGGCAGTACAGAAAAGATCACAGAAATTCTCACCTCTAGAATATATTCCAGCTCCACACCTCGTTTATGAGCCACCTTTAATACAGCCGAAGCTTGTGTCATTAGCTCTGAATGTGACCGAGTTTCCTTCAAGAGGGCAAAGGTACTCATCTTTCTAAAAAGAGTTTCCGTCACAATCATGTGAGACTCCAACCCCTGAAAATATTCCTGAGAAATTTGTGTGTGAGGTAGAGGGCAAAGAGAGAATAGAAAAGAGAAAGTGCAATTGTTACTCAATTCATTACCACGTGTACATGATTTTAAGCAATAGCAGTACAATCAAATACCTGTAGACATAGAATTAGGTAAACTTTTCACTCCACCAACATTTCACAAAATCCAACACACAATATAAAAAGGACAACAGCCTTTTTAAAGAAAGAGCTCATTCTTCCACACAAATTCTATTCCAGCTCTCATTCGTTCTCATTCTGAACCTTTCAGAACAGGTTAGCAATTTGCTGTGTACAAGCTTACAATCATGATTAGTCCTGAAATATGCCGCAGCTTCTTACCTTATGTTTGTCAAGTAGTGATCGAACCTCTTCCTTAGAAGCAACAATCATTTTCAGGTCACCAGCCATCTTTTCTTGGCCTGTTTCTAACAGGTCAGCCAGGTCCTGCAAAGCCCGTTCATACTGCCTCTTAAGAGCCAGATTTTGATTCAGGTCACTCCGTCTGGACCCAATGATCATCATCAGCTCATCATACATATCCTTAGAGGCAAAGAGTGGCAATGGTTATTCTTATTTCACACCTTACACGTCTTCCTAGAAGCAAACTTACTGTCCCAGTATTCTTCTGAGGATACTACCAGAATAACATTTATTCCCAGCTCAAAAAGACTGTGCAGATATACTGACTTAATTGATAAATTAACAACTCGCCAGTTAAAGAGAGAAAAAATAAGCAAGACCTGCAACTCTTTGAACTGCCTGCATTCAGGAGCAAAGTTAGCAGAAACCCAAAGGCTTGCTTTAAGTAGCAAAGGGTGACTGGGCTTAAGTCATCAAAACCCAGAGCACTGTGTGGCTACTGCACACTGCAGATGCTGTTTACATTTTACTTCATGGCGACAGACTGTAGTCATCTCAGAGCCAGATTTGTCTCCCTCTCCTGCCCCAGCAGCTTACTGGTAGCAAGCAAGATACATACAACCTGTAGTAAAAATCAAACCAGGCCCAAAATACTCTATATAGAACAGTAAAGTGTAGAAAAAGTGCAGTGTGTATTTCACAGTGTACCCATACTGCCAAATTAAAAAATGAGCCGAAAGGAAGAACCTCATCAGTTCCCACGTGCTATTACTCATCTTGCATACCTCAACCATAAAAGTGAAAACAAGCTACAGATGCTTTTCTTCACCTGAAAGGGATTACGTTCTTTTTTTGGTTTTGAGAATTGTATTGTCAGAACATATGTCTGATTGTGAGGGTAAGCCCGTACTTTTGAACAAGACAAGACATCCAGAAACTAATAAACCAAAATATCTCTATGACCATCCAGTGCTACAGCAAAGTACCCACCCTCAGACTGCAACTGGCTCTCCTAGATTTAGAGAGACAATTGTGAGAAGCACAACTGTCAAAAAAGCAAAGGGAAGGCTTTTCTAAAAACTGAAATCAAAGGGAGGGGAATATCTACACATAATCTGACAGGAAAAAAAAAAAAAGCAGGAGGCTCTGAGACCAAAAGGATAAAAAACGGGGCAAAAGACACATTTGCACAAATTCTTTGTCATTCATTTTTAATTGAGAATACTGTTTGGTTGGCTTAATAAGTTTATGGTCCTGTTTCAGCTATTTTCTTTGCTTCCAGTTTATTATTATTTCATTATAAGGGGTACCCCTTCTGCTCCACTCTTTGGGACCCCACCTGGAGCATCCAGCTCTGGGGCCCCCAACATAAGAAGGACATGGAGCTGTTGGAGCGAGTCCAGAGGAGGGCCATGAAGCTGATCAGAGGGATGGAGCACCTCTCCTCTGAGGACAAGCCGAGAGAGTTGGGATTGTTCAGCCTGGAGAAGAGCAGGCTCCAGGGAGACCTTATAGCAGCCTGCCAGTACCTAAAAGGGGCCTACAGGAAAGAGGGAGAGGGACTGTTTACAAGGGCGTGGAGCGATAGGACAAGGAGTAATGGTTTTAAGATGAAGGAGGGGAGATTGAGATTAGATATTAGGAGGAAATTCTTCACTGTGAGGGCGGTGAGACACTGTAACAGGTGGCTCAGAGAAGTTGTGGCTGCTCCATCCCTGGCAGTGTTCAAGGCCAGGTTGGATGGGGCTTTGGGCAACCTGGTCTAGTGGACGGTGTCCCTGCCCATGGCAGGGGAGTTGGAACTAGATGATCTTTGAGGTCCCTTCCAACCCAAACCATTCTATGATTCTATCATAAAATTCAGGCATACACCTTCTCCTTGATCTTTCCTTAAGCATTCCCCTGCCTCAGCACCAAACTGCTCACAAAGGAGTTTCAACAGCCTTATAAAAATTCTGGATCAATTGCCCACATGTATCTATTTCAGAGAACCTTAAGGTAAGAGTCCTACTACTTAGGTGAGCTCAAAACCAAGTGTAACTGAAAGTATGTAGCAACATGAAAAGTATTCTAGTAAATGCAGAACATTTCCAGTTTCAGGTCACACTTAGCTATGTATCCCCCTTTACTCCCCCTCCTTTTTTTTTTTTAAATGACAGATGTGAGAGAAAACTAAACCCCAGATCATGAGACATTGGTGAGAACAGGGCTCAACCTTCAGCAGACATTTATGATTACATGCTTAACATTATATATTTGAACAGGTACTCAACAAGAGCTGAAAGAAAACTTTTGTGTGTGTGTTTTTATGATTAATACTACTCATAATAGAGATCTTAGAAAATTTGAAAATGCAAAAGTAGAAAAACTAGGTGAATCAGGGAGAAAACAATCTTTTATACACACTGAAATGCTTTTAAATATGCTTTCCTAAACTGCCTTATGAACAAGAAAAAGGAGCATACCAGTATCTTTGATATCACCAGACAGGTCTAGGATGGAACTTAAGAGCCATACCTGGATCTTAGACAGCTCTTGCACAGAAGGTTGCTCAATTTGTAGCTTGTCTACACGCTTCTTTAATTCATTGATTCCAGTATCTAGTTCCTTCAAACCTTCTTCTGCCTGCAGTATGACCTGTATTTGAAAATTACATCATTTAGTTTGAAGGTTTTATAACAATACCGTAGCTGCCATATGGTAATATTAATTTTTTGCCTGAAGTATTAATCAGTCCTTCAGTCTGCTGAAATTTTAATGGATACTATAAAGAAAAAATATTAATTCAAAGTTGGGAGATCCCAGCTTATTTCTTAAAGTTAAATACCATATGGTACTATTATTTTTTTAAATAGCAAACTATTTTAGTATCACACACTATTATATACAAAACCTTGCTGTGAATTTCCATGCTTTTAATTATATGGTACAGACACAAAAGGACTATTAGTTATTCTAACACCTTCTTTTAAAGCATTCTCTTTATTAACACCCATTGCTGTCATGTCTGAGCACCAAGCAAACCACCGTCACAGCCAAAGACATGTGTGATAGCAAAGAGCTATGCACAGCTTCTTTACAGGACCAGGATAGGGCCAAAATGAATGTCAAGGAAAAGGACTTGTACATCCCCTTTTGTACCTGGAAAAGGTCAACTGAAAGCACACAGGTTGGTATTTGCAAGAGTACGCAGGTGATAATTTGACTTTTTTCAATGGAAGCTACAAGAAAGAAGGTCTTTCAACCTAGGAGTCTCTGCTGAATTACTGCATGCAAGCTACAGCGAACTAACTTAGAAACTGCGTATCCAAATGCTTAAAGTATAGATGTGAATAGAACTCCTGACTCCCAGTAATGTGAAGTGTACATCATACAGTCACTGAATTTACACTTCACGCAGCTCAGTTACCTGGCTGATTAAGGGCCTAATTTCTGCTTTCCCAATCACATCTTGAACAAACAGCAATGCTTTTAAATTTGAATGTTTTATCAGCCAAAGCAGATGTTCAGAAAAAAATCAATTCAGTTGCTTTTGTTACCATTTTTTTTCCTATTTGGTAGTTAAATTAATCATACAGGAGCTAAATATTCCCCAGTCTTTTGCATCATGGAAAATAGGAAATAAAGACACAGACTGCCAGCTCTCTTACTCATATCTGAGTTAAAATTCCTTGAGGGAATTTTTGATTATCAGATATATAAAGGCCAGTATTTCTGTTTAGCTGAGTCTCTTCCTCTCAGTCACCTGCTGGAACCAGACAACAGTAGCTACTGGGTAACACAAAACATAGGTAGAAAGTAGCCCTTAACATACTTCACTCACTTCAGGATATATTTTATGATAATATTAATTAATTATCCATCAAGCAATTGCTCATAAAGAAAAAACAATTATTGCCTTAAATTAACAGGAATATAGTCAAGATATTACTATAAACCAGTGCAGAATAAAGTGCCTTCATTTTTTAATAAAGTGCAAAAGACAAACAATTTAGCCAAAATTTAGACTTTTTTGGGTTCATTGAAGTTTTCTTTCTTTCAAATAGTGCCCGGTATATGCATAACTAGGTCACCTGGGGAGATAAGAAAGACACTTTGTGTTTGTTTTTTTTTAAAAATTATAAACATGTGTGGTACCCTCTTGGAAGTACTCATTTTCACATACGTTATGTGAACACACACATTCTCCCATAAAAAGCAACTGTTCTCTAGAATCCAGTTATACCTTGAATAGAAACTTTATCTCTTCCCTTCCCAACCACCCAAGTAATGGACATTTGGCAATACCTGCATTTGTTCTGTTTCTGGTCTCTCAGCTGCCTCTGCCAGCTTCTGTAGAACTAAATATTTGTTATCAGCCACCGATGTAAACAAGAGCTTCAGATCATTCTACAGGAGAAAACAACAACAAATTATAGCCAATCACAGCACAAACCAACTGAAAAATATTTTATGTTCCAAAAAGTTTAAAGCATTACAATGTTACAACATCAGCACTAAGGCATAAAAACTATTCAATGCTGGAAGCACCATAATTATCCAATGCAAAACATGTAACACTGCTGAAAAAAACATAACTGGACATATATGAGCAAAAAGCTAAACCAACTCCTATTCAAAAAATAACCTGTTGACACACTTCTACTTTTGCCTTCCAATTAGATAATCATTTAGCAAGGGTCAGCTAGCTTCATTTAACAAAAATACATTCATCTTGTGTAGTTTATTCAATCACATACACTTGTAAAAAAGCTAGGTTTTACTTTTAAATGCAGGATTTTTCATTAAAAACTTGAGCAAATATAACAAAAAAGTAAACAAGGCTTCAACACATTACAGGACTAACTACACATACTTTTAGAGTACCTTAGCAGGCTAGACACAGACTACTTAACAATTTTGCCAAGCTACAATCAATTATTTTTTTAATGCATTCATGCCAGCAAAACTCCTAATACTGGTAAAATAGAAAATAACCAGCACACATCTCTAAGACTTTTAGCATTATACAGGAGTGTGTTTCTGATTTTTTTTTTTTGCATGCAGTAATTATTTTAAATATTAAATATCTCTGGTATAACAATAAGGCACAGGATTCTAATCAGTTTGTCTCCTTTCTTCAGCAAAGGAAGGCCTTTTATTGAAAACGGTTGAAATAATATTTTCCCCATCTACTGCAGAGGAAAGGTTATGGAGTTTGGAAAGAACTCGGGTAGTAACAACCTATGAAATGATGATACTAATCTAAAGACACCAGCAATCTATTTTCCATTTTATCACAGCTAATAAAAGCAGTGTACTGTATCATTTATGAAATTATAAAACGTGTAGAGTGGAACTCTAAAGTTGCTTTTTCTCCTTTGAGAACAGTAGTCAACAACTTCCATTTATTGCAATGTCAGCAGGGTGAGAAAGTGTGGGATGAATGATCACTTCAACAATAATCGCAAGAGTTGCAGAAGGCTTCTAGCAGAGAGTTTAAATGTTGGATCATGATTTGGGTGCCAAGTTTTGCACAGCCTAAGTAGTTTGATTTTCAGTAAAAACCTGTGAAGACTTGTTCTCTTGATTTAGTACCAAAAATTCTCATTGCTTTGTGAATCGCATCCTTTATATTCCCATTTGACATATACCCCTGTTAATTCCTTCAGACCGGCGTCATACCTTGAAAGTCACTATTTGCTGGAGCCTTCCCTTCATCTGATGGCATCTCTGGTTTACTACTGACTCCAGTAAGGCCAGTCTTCTCAGGAGACAATCCAAAGTGTCTTCTATAATATCCCTATTATCACCATTCTCAGGAAATATCTGAGCAAATAAATTCTTGTTCTTATCCATTTCTTCTGTTATCTCTTTGATTTCTTTGGCAAGAGACTGATTTTGTAGAAAACAAAACAAAGGGACAATTAGACATTTTAGAAATCAAGCAAGCATACTGCCATAAACATTGCCAATTTTGCAGTGATGCAGTGACTTTTTTACGTTGTTAATATACACGCACTAGACAAAGTTATGAAGCTACAGTATTTCTGATAATAAACTCCCCCGAGACTGGTCTGAGGAAAACAAGTTCTGAAACAAAATGAACCTGCCCGAATAAGGGCTTCATGAAGCAGAAATCCATGTAGCTGCTGAAAAAGCCTTTTTCCCTCCCTCTCCCCTCCCTCCTTCTCCATTTCATATTGATGAATTTGTATTGTTTCCATATCCAAGAGCATTCCTCTGCCTTTTTCACTTCATTTCAATACTGTGGTGTTTGCTAATACTTAGTAGATAAGTTAAGAGAAGAAAGACTCCATGTTTAATTCTCTTCTGACCAGGCAAAATTCGGGTCAGGTGCTGCTTTCTGCAACATTCTTTACAAATAGTAGCAGAATACTGCAATTACATATAAATTATGGCAGCGACATGCCACTCATCCAGGATTCTAATATTTTCTTTCTAAATGCTACATAAAATGCACCGTTACTGGCAATTTAAAGCAAGTGCTATTCATGGATTCCTTACCTCTTGCTTGCAGAGGTATGTTTCTGTTTCTTCCTCTGGCAACAGAGCTGTAGCAACAAAGACCTGTTCTTCCACACCATCTAGCCACAAGGAGGTGGCTGTGACACCATCATACAGCTTCTGTTCAAGATGCACGCTCTCCTCCACCTGTCCAGCCTGGGCAAAAGGAACCAGAGAAGTCAAGAGCAGAAGGACAAGATACACTTTCTAACATCTAATATTTGGGAAAGGGCTGGATTTCCAGGTGGGAGCTAGAGAAGTTTTCATTGTAAGTGCGGCCCTGCTGGAAGATAGGTATAAAGACAACGGAAATGTTACCTCAGATGACACATCTTCAAAGGCCTGATTCAATTCAACCAGTACTGGTGACACTGAGGATTTATCCTCATCCTGCCCTTCCTCCTTATACAAAGGCATTCCAGATAGCAGTCTGTTTGGTCTAGTATAAAGCTGCTGAGAGAGAAGTACTGATTAGAGTGCTTCTACCACACATACAGGGCACAAAATTGAGCTATACAGATTCTATTGCTGACTGAGGATATCATCATGGCCCTCCCATGACTGTTCTGTCATGAATATCTTGAACAGAAGATTGCTCAACAGGAGGTTCACCAGAAGTGCAGATTAATACTTGTGGCAAAAATTAGCAAATGACTTGTTTTTACCAAAAAATAATTAATTACTGCTAAATGAATACAAGATATTTACAACTTTGGGAGCTGATTTTAATGTAATATTATAGTGGGTCTATTAAAAATAAAATGGGCGATGTACGCTAATGTAGAACTTGGACTGTTCCAAATTTAACTGATTAATCCCTGCGTCTTTCAATAAAAATTCTGCGGCTGAAATCACTTGCTGCTTTGTCATGTACTCATTAAGACCAAGAATTGAATGTAACCAATAAAATAAAACTGAAAGTACCAATTTTTCCTCTTAAGTTTTCACCAGAGTGCTGGTCAATGTCAGAGGGAGGACTTATTACAGAATTATCCTGGTTTAGATAAGTAGATCAAAATTTTGTCTGAGCCCTTTCTTCCTTCCTAGTTTATTCACCTGAACGGTACTGCAATTCAAATCACTTTGAACAAGAGCAGAGCTAGTGCCAATATTTAATAGTTTTTTAAAATGTCACAAAAATTTTTTTTTCCATATTCTTTGCATTAACTATATCACCTTAATGCATCTGCTATGCACAAACTGTACCTTGTGTTGTGACAACTGCTGTCATAGAGAAAATGCAAAGAGAAATTAAAAATAGTTACCAGCTGTTCTTGTTCCAAAGCTCTCTGGAGCAGTCTCTGCTTGGTATTGAATTCCTGGTTCAGGCTTTCCCATTTCATCTTCATCTGTTCTTCAGAGGATGGTTTCTCACCTTCCAAGCCTAATTCCTCAGAGAGTGTATCAGGCTTCTCACTGAATGGCAAGATACACAAAGGTTTAACAAATACAAAAGTTATAACAGCATAAGGTGTTTATTTCCTCTTTCAATTAGGAAATTCTACATTTAAATTGCTACTTTTCAGAGCTTTTACTTGGTGGCTTTTTTTTTTTTTTTTTTTTTTCAGATAATAAGACAATGGCTGGTTTCTAACTGCAAGAAATTATTGACTGATGGGATAAAATGTACTGTCTAAAAAGCTGTTTAGATTTGCAAGTACCCATACTAAGAACGAGCCCCCAAACCAGACTGAATAGAAACCACATTGAAATGTAACATTTAAATAAACTTTACTTCAAGGCATGAAAAAAAAAAAAAAATTATCAGACTCCTTCCTCACCTCTCCTCTCAAAATGCCAGACATACCCTGGTATTGTAATGCAGGACAAGCGTGTAAGTTCAGCTTTGGTAAATAGTGAATGAAGTGCAGCATTTTTTGTTTGTTTCTATAGTATAACATCTTGTGACAGAAGGAAGCCTCAAAAAGAAGGAGATAAGTACTTTCTGGCATTATAATAATAAACCACATTGAATTAACACAAATGCTGAGGAAAAGAACTTAGTACAGCTTACATTCCCTATGCATAAGTCTTGGTTCTACTGCCTCAGTAGAACCTTCATGTTCTAGACTGTGGCATGCTGGAGGAGCCACAAAGGTGCTCACTACCACTGATACATGAACAAAGTATTTTAACCGAAGGATTGACTGCTCCTTGATTCTCAAGGTCTGCATTGGCAGTAGGCAGTTGTTTTCTTCTGCTTTCTCTAGGGCAGAAGTCTCTCCCAGCCAGAGCCGAGGCTTTTATTGACATCTACTTCCCCCGAATGGGCAAGTGAGCAAGAAAATATAGACCAAAGAGGAAATTTGAAATCCACAAGGCTTCAAAAAGAAAAATATTCACTAACTGCAGGAAAAATAAAATTAAGCAATGAGTACTTCACCTGGGAAGATCTGGTTTCAGTGGCAGACTACAATATTTTAGAGATCAGCTATGATTCACACATCAATGCTGGACCATAAAGCTATACTAACTGATCTGCTCCTTGTCTAATGAATCCTACTAGTTTGTAATTTTAGTGTGATCCTTGAAAATAAGAATAAAAGGAATTTCTAAAAGCTGAAGTGATCAGTTAGCACAAAACAGTTTGTGTAATTATATTATCAGAGCACTGAATTATAAACTGGGACTCCAGTACCCTAGGTGCTGTATAAAAACCATAAAACAAAAATTAGAGTATTATATGCAGAAGAGGGATGTAAACATAAGGATGACAAAGCACAGAGTCATAGAAATCTACTTCACAGAAGAACACATGAAAGCACACCTTATACACAGGCCTTCTGGAGCACCTTGCTGTGTCAGGATTTCTTCTCCACGGCACGCTACTGACCGAAGCAGATTCTTCTGTTCTTCTAGCTCTTGTTCCAGCTCCTAACATAACAAGTTACAAAAACCCAAACAAACCTCAAACAGATTGTTTTCACCTTGGAAGGATATGTCTACATTGCATAACTGTCACGCAAAGATAGCTGAGCTATTTCTGATATGGCTTGCTGGAGCACCAAAAGCAGTGCAAAATCTCCACCCAGGGACCTGGAGAAATCGGGTACATAAACTGGGCTGTTGAACTAATTGACTAATGCAACACAGTTTCTGGAACTTAACCTAGTGAGGATGTCTGTGTATCATGCAACACAATATACCTTCTAATGTGTGTATCTTTGCTTCTATAAAGACAATGTTGACTACAATTTCGAACAAATACCGTCACCTCCTTAGAGTAACTTGAAGGGTTGAGTCAATTTAATTTTACTAATGGACAATGGAAGTACAGAGTGATTGAGTTGACTGTTGTCACCGAGGAAGTCTAGTCTGCCTGGCTATTACAGATATAAAATAGTGAGCTCAAATGCATCATTACAAGAGCACCGAGTAAGAAACAGTGTGAAAACAAAGATTTCAGTGAAAATATTAACAATAACAGCTCAGCTACAGCACAATCTAAAGACAAGAGTAAAAGAAACGCAAAACACCAACCTTCTGTTGCTGCAGGGTGCTCTGCTGCTGCTGTGAGCGAGTGGTTCTTGCTTGTGCCAGCCATTCTTGGACACTGGGGCTTTGTGAGGAAACAAAGTCCAGATCACTCTCCTCCTTTTCTTGTAATGATCCCTGCTTTAAGAGAAAGAAATATTTAAAAATGTAAAAATAAACATGCACCACTGCACGTAGCAGAATCAGAGTCCAGAGAACAGAAACCATGGACTGGTGTGTTTCTGAAGACCATTCTGCTTCTCCTATAAAACAGCATTGGTCTGTAATGGAAGGTGCAGCCCTAACTGGCAAGGCAAGGAATCAATGGATTGTTTCTGCCACGTTTTTAGTCTAATTAAAGCCAATTTTTTGTCTAACTAAAAATGAGAGAATGCCGGTTGTCATTCTGGTCCAAATTTATTTATCAATAAGTACATAACTCTACGTGTAGTTGGCAGAAACAGTCATTTAGCAGATTATATGATACGAACAGTAAAGACAGAGAGATCAAACCACAGAATGTTAGAACAGCAAAAGCAACAGTCTCTTCACTTCATACTTCTATCATTATGTTTTTCCAACATGAATGATTATACAGGCCATCTGTGTAAGCAAAGCAAAAAAGAGCAAATGCCTTAATAGTTCCAAAAACTGCTTTATCTACTTCTTGACTTCTGAAATCCATGTTGGCTGTAAATTTAAATTATTTTAGCTGCCATTATAGTCAAACTCAGGGATTTTAGCACACCAGGCCTAATCTTAAAGACAGACTTCTTGTAGGTCTGGCTACTTAGATCTACATACCTCTCTGGATTTATTTACTGTTACTTGCAGACACACGATGACTGCAGAGTTTGTGTGTTTGTTTATTTTAAAGCTTCAAGAGCTAAAGCTGGGGCTTAATTCCTATCCCATTTTGTCTATATATCTCATTTTTGTAGGATTCATATTTTGCCCACGATTTAGCTCTTATTCCAAATAGAGTAAGAGCACCCAATGGTGCAGACATAACAGAAGGCTCTCCAAAACAAAAACACGTTCCACCTTCCAAAGAGCCTCTGCCTCAAATGAGGCAGGGACCAGCAGGGCCAAAGGTGGCTGAGGAAAGAGCCCTCTCTTGCCTCACTTGGTGCTCCTTACGGACCTCTGCCACCACTGTCCCTGGCACCAGGCACTGAAACAGCAGAGTTCTGATAATGATGAGGCTTTGGGCAACGTGGTCTAGTGGACGGTGTCGCTGCCCATGGCAGAGGGGTTGGCACTAGATGATCTTTGAAGTCCCTTCCAACCCAAACCATTCTATGATTCTGTGATTCTAATAGTAGAAGTTAGGTGTAAGATTTCAGTTTTGGGGGATGATAAGTATATTGGAGTGAAAAGGAATGATTAGTGTTAGAGGATATAAACTGTATGAGGAGCAAAAGAACCAAGTGGGCTTCTAGAGCTAGAAAGAACCATTAGCTCTTGCTCTATGAAATAGATTTTTTCACTAAGAATTCAGTTTGCAGGTAAACCGTGATCCTTTACTTTGTAGGAATGAGTTTCTAGAAAAGCTGACATGATTGGAGTGTGAACAATGAGATTACACAAAGAAAATATTAAGTGAAGGGTAAAGAGGGTCTAGAATTTTAATCTTTCTATTGCAAATGAGAAAAAAAGATAAGCTTTCTGTTAATTGTAAAAAAAAAATAAAATCTGCTTCATTTTATATGCTCTAGAGACAGTAGCTGTTCAAATTGTACATTCCTTTAGAGAACAGTATCTAGTTCTTCGTTGCATTTGGGCAGGCTGATTGATTTCAGTTAGACTTTGTGTTTCCTCTTCTCTGGAAAGAGGGTAGAGAAGCTACAATTTTGCAGTTATACTAAGATGAATAAATACTAGTCCCACAGTTCCTGCAGTGCCAAAGAGTGTAAAAGGGATTGTGGCATTTGTGAATGCAATGAGGTTTGGCAGATATGCTACTGTGCACATTTTTTAGATTAAAATTATTTATGAAACAGATTTTGTCATTCTCAAATCATAGAATAAGTTTGAAAAATACACTTGCATTTTCATTTGAATTCCGTCTGAACAAACCGTTTTACATTTCCTTTAAATAGCCAGGGAGATAAATGCTTTAAGCTGTCATTCCAGAAGACTATCCACTCCACCACAAAAATGACTGGAAAAAGCCTGAAGAAAATGGTGATAAAACTGCTCTCTCAAAGAAGTTCAGAATTGTACAAACTTATATCAGGCATATTTGTCTTGTGGAACTGAAGTTGTCCCTCCTGGACACACACTTTCTAATAAAAAGTAAAGAAACAGTATCTCTTTGTTTGTTTTACTACAGAATCCATTCTACTGCTTTGTTTTATAAGGAGTCTATTTATTTTTATTGCCCCTAAGTCACAGAAGTTAGTAGATAACAGTAATAAGGCAATGTGTTGTCTATCTTTCAAAGTGCTTGAAAAATGCTACATTTGGAATCAACGTAGTCTAGAACTCTCCAGATCCAGCATGTTTCTTTTTAGTTTCCCTGCTTTATTTTATGAATAAAAGACTTGGTCTCCAAACCACTTTTTCTATATCATTAGTGACATACATTAATCAAAATTAGAAGGAAAACTGAAATTGCTGCAAGAAGTCACAAAATCTTGCACTGTCTCCTAAAAAGCCTTGTGCCACAGGAATAATGTACGTGCTGAAATATCACCTTAAGGAAAATATAGCTCCGTCTTTATGATGGTCTGGCAATAAAACTTGAGAGGGATCCTCCCTTTTCTGCATGCAGGCTGGTCTATCCTCTGGGCACTTACAAGGTTATTGGTATATCTAGAGACGTGTTTAAGTTCGAGTTTCTTACATGCATGAGAAACAGTTCTGTTAGCATGTAGTGCTCTTCAGGGTTAATAATGGCAGTGGATAGAGTTAGTGCACTTTGGGGCATCTGATGCTCTGAGCCTCCGTCCATAAGAAGTACGTTATGCCTGATTGTTTGGAAAAAAGTCATTATAGAATTTCTCATTTGGAAAAAAGTGCTCAATGAAAATTTGAAGCTGTTATACTGTCTATATCTATTTTCTTCCACGATCCATAAGTAAAGTTGAAAAAATGCTTGCAATTTATAAAGCAACTGCAGTCATGTGTGCACGTAACATCTTAAATGATTATTTTAAAATTAATTTCATTTTAAAATAAAATTATTTTGTTGTTATTTCTGATATTAGAAAAGCATCCAAAATCTGTTTTAAAATTTTAATTAAACCAAGTCACACCATTGTATTTTAAAATGCAGCACATTTTAAAATGCAGCATTCATATTTTAAAATGAAGCAACAAAGTATGTAATGTCTTTTCACTTCACAAGTAATATATCAGTAGATAGTATTATATGCCTACATGCTGTTGATAACACTTTTCATTTGCCTAATCGTGAGGTTTAATATGCAAGAGTAACATGAAAGTTACTTCATCTTAGAGGGAATAGGAATTGCCCAGGAAAAAAACCTGGGGTTTTTCTTTTTCTTTTCCTGTGTTTGTTTGTCGGGGTTTTTTGTGAAGCTATGTTAAGTTTTATAGTTATCCAGTTGCTTTGGACTAAAAATAGTTCTTAGCATGTCAAGTGACTTTTCAAGCTAACCTCTCAGTAGACTTTAATCTGCATTACAAGCTAGAAATCTTTGAAGCTTATTATGTTTAATTTGCACAGCAAAGCCCAGAAAAGAAGTAAAAGAAAAGGGCGGGGGAGGGAGTCACAGCAGGGCAAGCAGATTCAAAACCAGTCAGTCACATTACATGATTGAGTTTCTTGTATGTATTCGGTTCTCCACATGCTAGTTTAACCTAAAGAATGACGAAACACAACAGTTAAATAAAATGAACTAGTGGCAATAAGCGGACCAATGCTCCTAGGAATAGAAACTTAGGACAAGACTGAGATTAAATGTATCTTTGTTTATATAATATTTGGTTTGGTGTAATGATGCCACTAAGTACTAGCCATATTTAAAAGTGTTTCATTAGCTTGATGTTATCTATTTGTTGCGTTGTGCACGCTGTATGGAAGAAAGCATGTATTTAGGTTTGTTCTTTTGTTGGGGGAGGGATCCTGGTCCCGAGCACATGCAGTCTAAAGGGACTGGGAACAGGAATAGAGTATATCCAGATCAAACTAATCAACTATCTACTTTATTATTGCTCTTTCAGTGAAGACAGTACATTAAGATAGTTTCGCCATGAAGTGCTGCTGTTAACTTTAAAATGGTAAACTAAAGCTTGCTAGGCAGTTCTTTATTTCAGGGTGTAATTCCATTTACTAATTAAAGATGAACAGCTCAAACTAAATCAGTAGAATATTTTTACTTCTTTTCCCAGCTGCATAAAACTATGAAATCCCCCAAGCTCCTGCCTACCAGGAAGCCAGTTGGAAAGAGCCACTTACCCGAATGTTGATCTGTTTGTCGTGGAGCACTCGCTGCAGCTCCAGCAGGCTGCCCTTCAGCGTCCTCAGCTTCACGGCCAGCTGCTCTGCCTCGTCCTTGGTGTGAGCCTTCCCCTCCATAAGCAAGTTCTCGTTGTGCACAGACAACTCTGACAAGGCCACCACCTTCTGCTCTATTTCAACCAGCATGTTCTGCAGCAGCAAAAACAAAGAAGCAAATTCATACATTTTCCAGCATCTGTCACGTTTTCTGGCAAGAAGACCTGTGGCCTACCTCACCCATCGCCAAGCTAAGGGCAAGCCCTATTATCATTGCTTTGCCTTCCAGTCCCTTTCAGAGTCCTTAGGAATATGCTTGCAAGTGTTTGCATTTGCCATTCCTGTTTGCAAGCTTGTTCAAAATAGGAAATTGAAAAGTTATTTGAAACAAAGGATTTGTTGTAGAGGAGATGCTCTTTATTTGCAAATTACAGGTAACGGTGGCTAAGATGCTAGACTGACATCCATAACGACAAGAAACAGAGCACGCAGCTAGAGGTACGTCTTTCCTCTTCTTTCACACACATTTAGTGAAATGCTTCCTACCTCCTCCTATGTGTTGCTCTGGCTGTGTTGATAAGCTTCTCTTCTCACTATTTGCTCTTTCTGATTGGTGCATGACGGACTTAAGGATTTCTGTATAATCCTCTTTAGTCTAAAGAGAGACTTAAAGTGACAAATCTCTGGCATGTTTATTCTCAAAAGCTACTTTCCTGACATTCCATTAACCACTGATGTATTAGAAACGTAGTGCATATTTTGATTTTCCAAACTCAAAAGCTCATACAATTCCTGCTCAAAAACCTAGCCTGACATCAAATGTTTTTGTTTCCATAGCAACCATTAAATATAAACTTACAAATATTTCTCCTGAAGGAATGTGTGCAGGATAAGATGGGAAGAGTCTCTAAAAAGTGGAAAAAACATAGGACTTGATATAAAACTCACTGTATTAAGATTTTAAGAATGAGCAAAAGAACAGCAGTATTGACTTTTCCACAAAGTTAACTGTTCTTTTTGAGTTTCCTGCAGATAATATTAAAAAAAAATTACTGCTTTGTTTAAGTTCACAGGGTTTATCTCTATACAACAAACAGCTCCCAAGGACAGATGATCAAAGAACACCTGAGACTGAGAGGACTGAAAATTCCAATAATGAAATGGTGTCGATGGAAATTTAACTAGATGTTTAATGCATCGGACTTATATGAAACTCAACTCCCATTTATCCTAAAATAATTGAGATCCTCATTCTTTAACATGAAAACGGATCTTTTGTCCATCTGTCTGTTGTCTATCTTATAATTTTAATTATAATGATCATATAGTGCTAAACTCTCATTTAAAACTGGAGAACTCCCACTGGATGTTATGACTGATCCAAGTGTTGTTAATAAAAGTATATGCAATTACTCCTATTGCAGCAAAATGTTTTTCCTCAGTTGATTTGGTATTCTGGGTTGATTAATATTAAATTCATAAAACCAGTAACTACTGATGATTATGCTTTACTTTTGAACGTGGATAGGGATTACTTCTGAAGAAACCACCACACTGTCCCAGTCACCACTAGCAGCACTTCCACTAGCAGTGTGTTCTTTAGCTGGAAAAGGAGGAGTAGGAAAGTACACTGCAGGTGTTTTCATACCTATCAAGTGAGTTGTTCAACAACTCTACCTTGAGTGGAGCAAAAACAGTAAGTGAAGCAAATACAAGGCCTTTAAAGCAAAACAAAATGCACTCCAAAAGTTGTAGAGTTTCAAATGTTCTTGCAGTCAGGATATCTTGTTTTCCCACTGCTATGTTTACATGTGCTTTTTTAAAGCACTGTTTGCGATCTTTAATAAGCCATTAAGAACAAGTGGTATTTTATTTCACAAATCATTGATGAAGCTAACTGAGCATATATGAGGTGCTAGGGAGCTCAGAAACTTCTTCCCTCTCAATAATGGTTTTAACATTAATGGTCCATATTTGCCTCTTTCAGTCAGGTAAAGCTATGTCCATCCTGTTCATCTAAATATTACAGGACAGATAATTTTACCTGACAGTCTACCAGCTGTGCTTCCATGTCCAGAGGTTCCTCAGCAGCAACCAGAGCAGTGTCCAGTGTTGCTCGGGTGTTTAGTAGCCAGTGGTCAAGCTCATCAGCTTCACAACGGTACCTTTGAAGAGCCTGCTCTTGCCGCTGTTCTTCCAGCTGCTCGTTCAGTTTTTCCTAGGGGTACAAGTTAAATTTTACTTTTATAAAAGAAACAAACCACAACAGTCAATTTTAAAAACAATTCCCTCTGTGTCTCTCATAACTTCTACATAGTATTTTTAAGCCATAATAAGCCCCTTCTTTCAGAAGTTGGAAACCTTTAGAAAACACTATTGCTTTCAATTGATGAGCATGCTTTGCTGGTGACTGAAAATCTATTTCAGTTCAGTCACTGTATTTCTACTTCCTTCAGTAGATCTCTGCTACTACAGCCTTCTAAAGGTGAGATCTTTTCTGCCTCCTCTTGCTGCTCTCCTCTGGGTTTCCCCCCGCACTGATTCAGTTTGCTCAACTTTTTCTTGTACCTCCAATAGTTGTCGTTTTCCTGATGCCTTCATTCGAATCGTGGCCATTCGTTCTGCCAAGACCGTGAGAGTGGACTGCAATGCCAGCTGGTCAGCAGCTTCTGCATCCAGTGGTTCTGAAACCAGCTCCTGGGCTAATGATGTCTGAAGCTCAGTGATTTCTTCTTGTAACATTAAAATCTCATCCATCAAAGCCTATTTACAAATGACAGCAGAGAAAGTATTTGCTTTATGTATCAGTGAGAAGAAAGTATGTTAGGAGGCACAGGCCTAATATAAAATTCAGGATGACTGTCCCAAGGGAGCATGCGGAACACAGAGTAGTGCAATATAACACAGCTCCTTTGCTAGAGTCAGAATTCAGAAGGAATTCAGAAGGAGTCCTGCTTTTAGATGCTTAAGCTAGGATTGTGCATCTGATAACTGATATATGGATTTAATTACTTACCTTGAATTTCAAACATATCACAAGAAGGCATTCTTTTGGAAATATTATACGTACAGATATATTCTTCCAACAAATTTTCTGGCAGGTATTCTAGTAGATACAGTGAAGATAATGAGTGGAAGTAATTGAGTGTGTGTTTGTGAGAGAAAACTAGAGGCATGAGCCTGAAACTTAATAATGGGAGAAAAAACATCCACCGGTATATGTAAATATCCACAGATTAACTCCATGGTGTAAAAGAAGTTCCTACTATCATACTTATCGTATAAATCAGATAAATCCAAGATACCTACAAAAGGATGCTGCATTACCAATACCTTAGAGCAGATACTTTACTTTCATGTCTGATAGTATACACACATTGGATGCACAGGACATCACACACTGCTATGAAAGCCGAATGTTGCCCTTTTTGGGTCATGGAGTTTCTACTGAAATGAGAACTGACCCCACCAGATAGTTTCACGCTATCAGATAGAAGGCTTTGATGATTACAACTATGTAAGTATGTCAGATTGGTTACTTGATTAAGTATTCTTCTATTATTCAGGGCATTATTTCTCAAGACTTCCCTTGGGAGGGAATTTTTTGTGTGCGTTGATTTGTTGAACAAGGCAAAGATTGTATTTAGGTCAATTTACAATGCATCAATATTGATTATGATCTTAGTAAATTTGGGAACATTATAAATAGTCCGATATATGCTAGTAGCACTGATGCCGAAGAACAGTGTGTGTAGGTGTCACTGAATGCAATCTTTGACAACAGGTTTTGCTGAAAATTTCGATTGGACAAACTCTTATGATCTATTCTACTTTTTTAAAAGGCTCCTTATTAAAAGAATCCCCATTACACCATCTTTAGAACAGTGGGGAGTCCAGAAAGGCAAGGCATACAGTTAACAGGGAAGGTTCATACAAATAACGCATGTTTTTGAGGTATCCAGCTATGAAGAATCCACTATCTAAAAAAAGGCAACTAAAGATATACAGGTAATGCATGCTCTCCCTCTATTTCGCACATACGAGTTTTTACCTGATGTTCAGCCATCTGGCTCTCTGGGCTTTTGGCTGGTTCCAGACTTTCATTTAGTTTGCTCTCAATGGTCTCCATTTTTGTGGATATAGACTGGAGCGTGTCCTGATATTTCTGCTGACGCTCAAGAGCTTCATAGAGGGTGCGCTGCTTTTCACTGATCTGAAGAGGAATGGAAAGTATAAATTCTGACCTCTGATACAGGATTTGCTCTTTCTTCTGATTCTTACATCCCTAGACTTATGAGACTAAAACCAAAAACTTGCAACGAGTTCTCAAAAGTATAAATTATAAACCAAAACATCCATATTAAAAGTATTTATCTGTTTAAACATCATCAGTTGAATCCTAGGTTCTGTGACTGAAAAAAATGGACTTTAATGAGCAGGGAAAATCTAGGCATGTTCTCATGCCTTACTTTAGATTTTATGCACTCGAACATGTGGATGTGCACAATTTGCTAGACACACAGTTCTTAATTCTCCCTAAGAGCTACTGTGCCTCTGCAAAGAATTAAAATTTATAGCGTGTGATCAAAACTTTGACCATTTTCATACATCATTGAATGATTATGCTGCACTACTATGTAGAAATGTGTGAAGTTGACCCAGTATTTGAAGAAACTGGATTCTTTGGCCTTTTTTGCCAACTCAAACAGCATGAGTGGATTTCTCTGTTAGGTTATGGGATATTGTCTGACAACAGCCAGTATTTCTGAAGGTAGATATCAGCCTTAATAACTTTTACTTTTTCTTAATTGAGGTCCATCCTGCACAGGCTTTCAAACATAGAACAAAGTCAGTGTAATACAATTGACAATTCCTGTTACCACCTGAAAACCAAGAATCGCAGAGATTAATATTAGTTGAACCAGTTCTTTGCATTTAATTTCTTACAAGCTAGCTGATTATTCTGAACCCTCCAGGTGAAAACTTACCACATTTTTCAGTGTTTCCCAAGAACGTTGCAAATCATCCAATTTGGCACTAGCAGCTGATTCTAAGCCTGGTTCATAAAACTCCTGGGTGGCTGAAGTGCTGGGTTGAATTTTAGCAGCTTCTGTCTGCAACTGTTCAGCAGATAATGCTTGGTAATAAGCAATGTCCTACAAGCACGAAGCACATTATTGCAGTTTCAAAATGAAAGATACTGTGTAAGAATATCCCCCCACAGATTGCCCCATTGCATACTTCCATTAAAATAAAATCCACAAAGTCAAAATCATCAGGAAACCTCTGAGCACCACAGTAAATAAATATTTAATAGCAGTACAATGAGCATAGTTTGGAGCTTCACTATCATGAAGATTGTGGATGCATTTTTTTCATGTTCATATTAGCTAGGAGGCACAGGAGGCAACTGTGGGCAGACATGGAAAGACTGGGAGGGGAGTGTCGTTCTAGCATCATCGCAACTACACACATGGAAAACCCATCACAACAGTGCATTACAGCACTGTATGTGGCAAAAGATATCCTAATGAACACCCTAATGAACACTAGCATGGAGAAGGCAACAGCAGAACCAAAAAGGAATATGCTGAAGCACTGGTCAACAATGTAAGAAAGAGTATGAAGCACTAACTTGTAGTAAGCCTTCAAACAAACAAGTACTCTCAACTAACTTATAAAGATGGTGCGAAAAGGGACCACAAGTGCTGAGGAAAATGGGCAAATGTTCAAATTACTATTGAAACTTCAGAGTGGAACTGCTTCTCACTAGAACTTCTATACTTAGTGTATAGAGATTTCTTCAACTATTGCAGGTGACAATTAAAAAGATCTACAGAAAATGTACAATTAAGGGAACACGCACACTATCTATATTTAAGTCAGGAAAGCAGACTTGATGACACAATTATTTAAAACTGAGATCATGTATGGCAGTTGCCACTACATCTATTTAGAAGGTGAAAAATGCTGCAACCTTCCTTCTTCTCACTTAGTAGCCCCACTTAGTGAACTATGGTCCAGACCATGTGACAGAGCAGCGGTTGTCCAGTTCCCTCAATCATTTTGAATTTGTACATGCCCCTGGTGAAAACTCTCACCACAAGTGATCTTTCCAAGTCACAGTGAAAAACTGCAGCAGTGCAGGCAACTTCTCATTTTGCCTTGTCTGCAGCTACTCTCCAGCCCTCAGCTAGTCCTGTCTCAAGGCCAAGAGAAAAGCTGTGCTTCTGAGACTTCTTAATCAGAATTCCCAGAATAAAGACCTTGCTTTTAAAAGAGAGGAAAGAAATCCCTTTCCTCATCTTTCCAACTGCTTGTTGGAGTAAACAATATGGCAGGGGTTTTTTTGGTAAGGCTTTAATGCTGATAGTGTGAATCCAGATGTTCTTACACAGAACAGATTTTGTTCCCCCTATAAAGACTCTAATGTCTCATGCCCTCTTTTACAAAAATTAGTCAATAAAACATACTCAGG